TGCTCAGCTGTAAATGATACCTAAATGACAGTAGAGATCGTGCATCTCGCCTTGGACTGGAATTAAAAACGGAAGTTTATAGCTACAAGTTAAATCCTGACTAAATAAGGCAGAAACACCTTTAACAAGAAGATATCCAAGAAAGGTTAGCAGGTTTTCTAACAAAACATATGAAAAATAGATGATGACCACAAGAAATCTATGTATGAGACTCCAAATATATATAACTCCAAATATACAAACAATCTGAATACTTCAATATACAATACAAAAATATTAAAAAAGCTTACTGCAGAACAGTAACTGATGTTACAGAAAATCCAATACAGTCATGTCAAATTATCTGGGCAACATACAAGTCTAGAGAGGGTGAAATAAACAGAGTGGAAGAAGATGCTAAAATACTTGAGACAAAATACAAAGAATAAGGCAGCTTTCTCCTGGGTGCCAACCCAAAAAATGTTGGTGTCCCGGGATAGAGCCTCCTTTTCTGACCTACACTAAAATTTTGTTGGCAGACACAGTGAAACACGGAAAAGAATAATATCTCGAATGTTGCCCGAAAATCCTGAAAAATTAGTAGCCTAAAATAATTTAATTTAAAGCATAAAATTGACCTGCTATAGGATGAAGATTTTAAAAATCTTCTGATAATGTATTATTTACTCAGTACATATCAAAGGACTTTCTAAACAGATGAGCTTTTAGTTTTCCCTTAAAGTCATTGATGTTTACACATTTCCTGATTTCTTGAGGAAGGTTGTTCCATAATCTTGGAGCAGATGAAGAGAAGGCTCTTGGTGGACTGTTTATAGGGCAATGAAGAGACACATCTCTGCCACCACTGGGATTGTACTTGACAAGGTTTGACAGGTATGAAGGTGCTAGTCCATGGAGCAGTTTGAAAGTTAGCAGGAGTATTTTAAATTCAATACGTTCTTGTACCTTGAGCCAATGAAGTTCTTTTATGTAGGGCTCAACTTCTTCTCTCCTCTTTAGACCTTTAACTAAGCGACATGCTCTGTTTTGCAGAGATTGTAGCTGTTTCAAAACAGAATGATTAGTACCATAGTAAAGTGCATTGCAGTAGTCAAGCGAACTAATAACAAGAGATTGTACGATGATTTGCATTTGATCTTCAGAGAGGAATGGTTTCATCTTTGCAATATTCCGCATCTTGTGGCAGTTTGCAGCTTTAAGCTTCTTTATCTGAGGATTTAGAGTCAGAGAGGAATCCAATGTAAAGCCAAGGTTTTTGGTAACGTTAACAAGTCTTATACAGACAGAAGATTTTAGGAAGACACCACCAATTTCTAATTCTGACAATAAACGTTTTGAACCAAAAACTATAATTTCAGTTTTAGTTGGATTCAGAAGAAGGAAGTGATTCGTCATCCAGGTCTCGATTTCTCTAAAACAGGAGGGCAGGTCTTCGCTGAGGACTTGATATTCTGTAGCGGATGAAAATGACTTGTAGATCTGGTGATCATCAGCATAGCCATGGATCAGAAATTGCTTTGATTTTACAGAAGAGTAAATTGAGCGGATGTAGATATTGAACAACACAGGGCCAAGGACAGAGCCCTGTGGGACACCAAACTTTATTACAATTTCTTCAGATTCTAGGTCACCTATCTTGACTTTTTGACAACGACCACGGATGAAGCTGGTGAACCATTTCAAGGCTGTTCCCGCAATCCCAATCTCACACTTCAATATATTGATCAGTTTGATATGGTCAACTGTGTCGAATGCAGCACTCAGGTCTAAAAGCATTACAACTGTTGCTGTGTTTTCATTAGTGGCTATGAGGAGGTCATTGACTATGGTAATGAGGAGTGTTTTTGTGCTGTGATGCTTTTTGTAACCAGACTGGTGGTCGATGTTGAGATTATTCTTGGCTAGATGTTCATTGAGGCATTTTAATACAAAGCGCTCAATGAGTTTACCGATGAATGTAAGATTAGAGATAGGTCTATAATTCTTTAAGTTCTCAGTGTCTAGGGAATCTCCTTTGATTAGGGGAGTGAGATGTGCTAGTTTGATTCCCTCCATACTTCCAGTTGAAAGAGAAACGTTGATAATATCACAAAGGGTAGGGAGGATTAGCTCAAGGTGCTCTGACAAGAGCTCTTTAGGTAGTGGATCAATCGATGAGGTTTTGATGCCAGATTCTTTGATCAATTCTCTTACTTCAAAAATAGTAGCTTTTCTAAATTCAGATAATGCCTGGCCATTGAAGTTTGGAGAACTATTAGTCACAGTAGTGTTGGGAAATGATGTTCGGATTTTCTCAATTTTTTCAGTAAAATACTGGTTAAAGGCATTTACAGTTTCCTGAAGATTTTCTGAAGATGGTAAAGTGAGGTTCTTTTCTTTATCCAGGAAAGTGTCTACAAATTTGTAAAGGCTCTTTTGTGAGTGTTTGTATTTTTGGAAAGTATTAGAGAAAAACAGTTTTTTCTTTTTGAGAGTCAGCTCTGAACAGTGCTCTCGCAAATGAACAAAGATATCATGATCAATGTCAAGACTTGACTTTTTCCAGGCTTTCTCAGCCTTTCTTCTGTCGGCTCTTGCAACTTTGTATTCGCCATCAAACCAGGGAGCAGTGGGAATGTCTTTGATGGTTTTGGAATATTCTGGAGCATGTACATTTAGTATATGTTGACACCCATTGTTGAATTGAGTCACAACATCAGAGAAGCTCTTTTCTTCAAAAACCAACTCAGATAGAGCAACAGATAAATCACCTTTAAATTGTTCCTGATCTATGTCTCTGATCTTTCTAAAGCGTATGACTTTCTCACATTTGTCGATGTCAGGAGGCTTATGAAGCTGAAATATAATCGGATAGTGGTCACAGGATGGGAAGCTTTTGGCCATGTTTTGCATTACCTCAACAGAAGTTTGATCTACTACTTTGTGCGAAGAAATAACAGGATCAAGGATGTGACCTTTTTTATGTGTTGGTGAGTAGACAAGTTGATGAAGCCCAAAAGATGATAGTATGGTGCTCCACTCGCTCACATGGGCAGAGATTCTGTCTAGGTGCATATTAACATCTCCGCATAGCAAGAAATGCTTGTATTTTGAGAATGCATCCGCCAGGAAATCTTCAAAATCAGAGAGGAAATTTCCCAAGGACCCAGGTGGACGGTAGACACAGGAGCAGAAGACGACAGACCCATCAACGAGTTTCAGTTTTGCGTTAATTGCCTCAAATGATCCGTCATTGTTGGCAAAAACTTTGATTAGACGAACACATGATTTGTAGATTATGGCAACACCTCCACCTGATTTGTCTTTGCGATACACTTGGTAAAGTTTATAGCCATAGTTTTTTATTATTGCAGTGGTGTTGTTGTTCTCATCAGTTAGCCATGTTTCTGTAACAAAGAAAATAGATATGTTGTTATCTTCTAAAAAGTTCATAACATGGTCAACTTTGTTGTTTAGAGAGCGAACATTCCAGCTTGCACATTTCATACTAAGGCTCTTAACTCCAGTCTTGTTCTTCACCAGTTTTTTTGGGTGTAATATGAGATTGAATGCTTAAGCTTGTGCTGTTCAGAGATATAGGCTGGGCATGATCTATCTGTGGCTGAGTGTGTGTACTGTTCATCAGTTCTATTAGAATTTTTACAGTTAGCACAGGAGGGTTGAAAGGAATGTGTGTCTTTATTTGTACATGAGTTAGTTTCATGATCTTCAGTGCAATGAGCACAGACATGGTTAGATGCTTGGCACTGGGCTGAGTAATGACCAAACTTTTGGCATTTATTACATCGTTTGATGTAAAAGTGATCATACACCTTGCAGCGGTACAAACCTATCGATAGGAAATTGTCACGATTTTCGATTAGCTTCCTTATGGCATTGCTCACTCTAACAGAAGCTTGAAAAAGTGGTTTTTCTGTTTGATAATTTCGTTGTTTGCGGACTGAGAGTACAGAGAATGTTTCACCAGAATCAATGAGGGACTTGATGTCAGGGTAAAGTTTCATAATGGTTTCAAAGAGATCATCGGTTGTGATTTCATCTCTAATCCCGGAAATGGATATCGTAGGCAATTTGGTTATAGGTTGCTTGAGATCAGATTTGGGAAATTTTTTGGAGATAGATTGAACTAGCTTTGTTCGATCAGCTTGACTAGATGTGGTGATAACTGTCTCACCTTTCTTGTTTTCGAAGGTATTATCTACAAAAATGTTATTTTCTGTGATAATAGTTTTAAGGTCAGATAATGGAACTTTTTCTCCCCCTTCAGAGACTATTACTGAAGCTGGATGCCTCAGTTTTTCTACTCTGCTGCTGTCACGCCAGGGATTTTCGACAACACCATTAGAGCCATTAGTTTCATGGTTACTATTAACTGGTGAAAGGGTTGGTGATATGGAACAGTTTCCTGCGGTACTACTTAATCCATGAAGAGTGGCAGGATTTAACAAGAGATTTTTAATGATGTCTATGTCAGCATCTAGTTTTGACATTTTTGTTTCAAGGGTGTGTACATGGGTTTTTAAATCAGCAGCGTTTCTCAGGTTTGCTAATGTAACACAAGAGTCACAATGGAAGAGGAAACTTCCAAAACGTTTACTTTTCTGTTTTGATTCAGTGTTAGCATTGAAAGATTTCAGTAAGGACGGGGAGCATACATTATCAGGAAAGTTAACACGTTTACCGTCCTTTAGTTCATAACAAGTAGCGTGAAAATTGCTCTTACATTCATAACAACATACCACTTCTCCTTTAGAATCAAACGAGCAGTTTCTGCAGATTCCATCAGCAGCTAACATACGTGGATCGTTCACAACCAAACAAGGGGGGCTGGCACTATCATCATTGTCATTATCATTACCATTGTCATGTTGCCCCTGTAAGACATGATTTGAGGAGTCCAGCCCCTCTGAGTTTTGATCGGGATCTACCATTCTTTTGGGAGGATGGAGACAGATATAAAATCTTTTATGATGTATAACTCAGAAGTTTCGGGGTCCTCTCAAATTATTTGTTATATAGTAGTGTTGAAAGTATTAAAACTTATTGAGGATGTTGATTTGAAATCCGGACGTCGTGAAGTAAAAATACAGGTTCTTCCCGCAGGATATTCGGGGCCCATGATGATCAGCTCGGGATTAATGTGGGACAGATCGAAGACTGACAACTGAACCCAATTGAACCTAGTTCCCACTAACCAATCAGCTTAATTGGTTAGGGTTAGGGTTAGGGTTAGGGTTAGGGTTAGGGTTAGGGTTAGAGTTAGAGTTAATCTAAATGTCTAAATTGGGTTCAGTTGTCCGGTAGCCCGCTCTTGCGAGTTCTTTGAGCTGTCAAAGAGCCATGAGACCAAGTAAACCTTTTCGTGATAAACTGTAAAACCTTTCCATATCGGGCCTCTCACGGGAGAAACGAGAAGTGTACGGTATAGAACGTTTCATATACCTCATTAAAGGGCCATAATATAATATACACGTATTGCATTGTGTTGTATTGTGATTGAATATAGCTCGATATGTATTACTACTTACATCACCCACCAAATGCGATATGAACAACTCGGTTTGATTGTTGAGGAAAAGAAGAGGTCTGGTAATACAGGTAGGCCGGTTTAGATTATCACAATTGACAGTACAGAGAGGTTTTATTTATTACAAATGTGATTCTCTTAACCCCACTGATTCATCATTGAAATCGATAAAATGACAGTACAGCAGGCTATCGTTTCGATCTTGACTGTGCCATTGGTGCAGTTTCTGTGAAAATCGATAAGGCTGTATTGTAATTAGTTATGAAACTCTTAAATCGCGATCGTATGGTTAAACTTAACGTTTTTCAGTTTCAGACCTTTCCACTTAGAGTTAGTAATTCCTGATTATAACTAAAATCTGCCGAGATTTACTGAACTCCAACTACAAATATTGGTGATTAAGGTATTCTTGAAACGAAAAATTGACTAAGTTTTTTTTTGAAAATCATTTTCCTCCGCGTTTCATGCAATTTTATCACTTTTGGCGGAAAAAAATATTTTGAATTTTCGAAATTTTGGAGTCACGAAAAAAAATGTAAGTGAAAATTTTTAAATTTTTTTCTAAAATCTACTTTTCTCCGTGTTTTAAGCTATTCCGATCATTTTTAGCAAATAAAAAATTTTTAGAATTTTGCTAATTAGTTAATTGATAATTATCCAATTAACTTATTATCTGACGTAAAAATTGTTTGAACAAAAGTTTTTCTTCCTGATAATATGAACACACTCGATTGATTCGCAACCTTTTACGATGTTCACAACTAAAGATATTCGACAAACAAGAAAGGTGGTAAAAAGTGGTAAAGTGGCAAAAAGTGGCCTTAAGCCACGTGGAAAAGTTTGGAAAAGTTGGTCAACCATAAACAATAAAGGGCACCTAATGGGACTCAAAAACGTCAAAAATCCTCTGAAAGCTTCGTGTGTCAGCAGATCGATTTTTTCAGACGGATTTCCCTGTACTAATAGCATTTGCTGTCATTTCCCCCAAACAATATCAATTATATGATGGACTCACCCAAAAGGACAAAAACAGATTGTTAAAGCTGAACATTTTTTTTGATTGATATGAGATCGGATATGAGATCCGAGCTTGTTTCAGGATGATGATTAATCACTCTACACTCGACTGTCACGTGACTTTTTCAACCCGTTCTCTAGGTGGTCCTGAACGACTATTCGAAATCCTAACCCTCTAATCTGATCCCAACCATAACCCTAACCCAATCCTTAACAAAAGCATATGCTGAAACCCTAACTCTAACGAAAAATTAGACTAACTTCCTTATACGGTCATATCACGTGATCGAGACAGTATTTCGCCAATATCTCGTCAGGGGAGCATTTTAACCCTATTATGTCATGGGGAGTGATTCTGAATCAGCGTCCGAGAATGCATCGATTGAATTTGTTTTTAACTGTCGGCGGCCTTTTTAGAACAATCTCGAAGATCGACTGTAAAGTGATTTATTAATTGACGATGTCAATTCATCGCAGCTCGGCGCGGCACATTGATGATTGACGCATCGCGCTATGCAAAGTGATTTAGCAAGCTCGCTTGTTTCACACTGTAATGCGCGCCACTATACTGCAATCTGACTAAGTGCTAATATTTAAGGTTTGTCAATTAATATTGATTTACTAAGACGCGCGCCGAGTTTAACTTTTTGATTACCTGGGGACCTCAGACTATCACACTACCTTAGGTGCAAAAAATTTAATGCCGAAAAATTTCAGCTAAACTCAAAACGCGGACGAAATTTTCCGGCATTAAATTTTTCGTCGACGAAATTTTTTAACGACGAAATATTTGGGACGCCTACTTTTTTGGTATTTTTTGCATCATTAAATTTTGAAAGTTAAAATTAATGAAGGAGTAGTCAGAAATTCCCCGGACAAAGTTGATAAGGTTGTCTACTACCAAATTTCTGACGATATAAGTAGCTCCGACTGTTCTGATTTAGAAGTAATTTTTGATTAATTTATTTTGAAATATAATTATATGTTTTATTGGTTTCCTAAATGTCTAAATTTGACAAAAATAGGACGAAATATTTCGCAGACGAAAAGTTTTGTGAGCAATTGACGAAATTTTTCGGACGAAATATTTCGGAATAGTTTTTTTCGCGACGAAATTTTTTACACCTAAGGTATCATGTTTATAAACATAAAAACGTTCGGCGGAATGACAGGCTGAGCGCGGCTTTGACGGATGTTACTCGTCTAAATTTCTTCGAAGTAGCGCGCGCCGCTTTCTTCTCGAAATGGCCCGATGACAAGTGCTACGAAGTAGCGTGCGCCGGGCCAGATCATTAACAATGATCAAAGCGCGGCCCAGTAACTTTTTGACGAATTTTGTAACTTTTTTTCAAATATCATCGGCCCGATAAGCTTTGGTTCGGTTTTACATTATATGTTAAAGAAAGCGCGAGGATGGAGTGCTATTATTAATTAGTTATTATGATTATGTTATGGTCAGAGCTTGCTCTATGCGGTGGCCTTCGCCAGGCATGATTTGTAGGTTTACAACATAACAGGACGCGCGCCTAGTTGGACTCGTCGACGGTCCTGTCCAATATATGGAACAGATGTTCTACGAGTATCACCCGTTAATGGTTAAGGCATGATCCATGCAGACAGCCAGAATTGCAGAAGTAAAGTGCGCGGCAAATATTGACGAAGGATTTAATTAATTGCCCCACGTTGTGGGCCCGCCGCGCAACAGTCGATACGAAGCGACGATTGCTCGGCCATATCGTGGCTTTTGCCACGGTAGTACATAGCATAGTAGGCATCCTTAAATGAAATGATGATTGCGACGTGATACCAGGATTTAACAAAGATCATAAATCAGGTATCGTGAAGTGGGACAAGTTAGAGTCTAGTTAGACTTTGTCATACGTTGTAATACTAATATACCCGCCGCGCACGAGTGCGCGGCTCCCCCTGTATCGTAAGAACCGTAGTGAAACGACCGTGGGGGTCACAACGTGATACAAGTTCAAAGTTAGACTAATTATAGTGCAATATTGCTTCTAACAGTATAATAGTAACAGCTTAACATATCTTAAGTTCTGCGCAGTAACGTAAAGTCATTGATTTATATAAAGCCGTGGCCGTCCTATGTTTTGTTTATTTGTTAATTTTCGGTCAGGGAATGATTTGTGAATGGGGACTGGACTGCAGAAGTATACAACGTGTATCACTATCAAGTATATAGTGTATAGGCATAGCCATTATATACTGGTTTACGAATGTGTGATATCACACCATCAGCTCGAGAGCCTCGAGGAAACTTCCGCCATGGCAAACATACTATGTTTTTGTGCCCAGATTCACTTATAATTTGAGTGGTAGGACCACAAATCTTATCATATTAGACGCCACAGACTGACGACTGTATCGTTCAAAGTTTTACACAAATAGCTGTAACTCATTAAACTGTAAAAGTTAACTCTAAGAATCGAATAAATAGACGCAATTTTGAATTGAATTTCATCTTACCTAACAGAGTTATTTTGATTGAATGTAAATTATTTGTCAACTGATGTCTAATCCAGTAATCATAATGTACCTAACAACAGTGGAACAGTTCCCAAAAATGTTCTGTCTAGAAGAAAAGGTGGCTGACATCAGCTTAACAAATATTTCATCGGTCAGAATCAGTACAATTAAAATAAATACTCTGCGTGACTGGGTGATCATGTAATGGTAAAAAACAGAATCATCGAAAAATCAAAACCTAACCAAATGTATTCACCATGGAGGGCCATGTATCATGATCACGGAGGGCCATGAGATGGGTTGTCTAGCTCAACAGCAAGGGTCAGGGGTTTAACCGCAATACATGGGTTTAACTGCAATACTTAATCGGGGGACTTTGTCTCATCTCCTTGAAAAGCCTGCCAACTACCTATCCTATCAATTAGGTTTGAGAACAAACTAGCTAGAACAAACTAGCTCACTTAGTATTTATCGAAGGTCACATGTTGTTCCTAGAGCAACGATTCCTTACGGTTTAACAGGTCAGGCATACATACCAGCCCCGGCAAGGTTCATAACTCAACAAAACCCCTTTCTAACAAGATGATATAAACTCTTATCATGATTCATACTTCTATATCAAAATAGTTAATAAATTAAGTCCATTGTTCGACAATCACGTTTCTTTTATTACTTCTGTTCCACTCTCAACTGGTACCATGGGGTAATCGAACAGGAATGTAGCGACCGTGGGAGCGTTCCGAAGGGCGAAAACCTTCATCCGATCGAAACAAGCGGAGAAAGAGTCGAGAGCCGGCCGCACATCAATCTCCACTGAGTCCTCTCCGGTTTCTAGTTGGTCTATACCGGTATCGTAGTAGTCTAGAATGTATCGCACCTAAGTGAGGAATAGGTCAGAAGCCAATCCCAACATTGTGGTAATAACTTGAACATATTGTTAGGACTTCAACAAAAAGACAAAAGCAGATGGTCATTCCTAGGTCGCCCAACTTACATCAGTACCACATCGGTCCACCACCCAATCGTGACGGTCAAAAGGAGCGTCGTATCCGAGCCAAGTCCTAAATCTCGCTCGAGGTGATAAATCTTTCGGCTTTCCAGCGAACTTAGTCAATTGGGGGTCTTTACATTCTTCGTTATGGAACGTTTCCCACAGAAGAATCTGAAAAAGTAACCAAATTTTAGGCTAATTTTAACATTAATTCTATCAGGAATCGTTAAAATCAAAACAAGGGGGAAAAATAAAATTCCATAAAATCTTTATTTTCTGGAGCAACGTACCTCATGCCAGGCCTTCTCATTGTTAAAATTGTGAATCTTGATTATCTCAGTCACTGTTTCCGGTACAACTTCTTCAGGCTCTTCTCTCCAGTTCCAACCTTTCCTGGTCATGGCATTCCAGAACATTTGTTCGCTAGGATACACCCAGTTCTTATCTGAAAGATGGGTCGAAACTTTAGCGATACAACCCCCAAAACGTAACTAATTAACAAAATTGAATAAAGGTATTGTTTTTTTCTGTGTACTTTATCAAGACTTAATCATCAAGAAAAACCACCGAAAAATCTCTGAACGATGTTTTCCTACGTAAACTAGAAGTGATCAGTGTAAGCGCAAACTAACCTGTACCAGTACGAGGAATTGAACTAGTTTCTCTGCCCGTATTTAGAGGAAAAGGCTGATCATGTGCTGCTCGCTGATTAGGGGGCGGCATCATGTTGTCCGGCATTAACTTGTCCGGGTCGGTCGCGGCTGTGTTGTGCATGGGGCACTCTGATGGTATACTTGGGCTTGGCTCCCCTGCTGCGCTCGGACATTCGCTCATTAGAGAGCTCATGGCTTTCTGGGCTGAGATGTACTGAAATGTAGCTAATTATTGTCTGTGTTCATTGGTAGAGTGTAGTAAAAATAGCCAGAGCCAGTTGGTTTTAAGATCCTTGTCGACCGCACAGTCAAACAATTCTAAAGGCAAAAGTTAGACGGCAGAAAATTCACCGGGTGTAATCTTAAAGCCTGAAGATCTTACCTACGATATAATATGTTATTTAATTCTAGTATATTCACATTCACTGATGACGAGCACGAATAGCACGGAAAAGGTAAACAAAGGCCTAGAATAATGTTTTTATCCGATTATCATTATTATTAAATAAGATATACACGGAGACTTCCAAGATCCAATAAGAGACAAATTTTAAAACTAATAAGAGAGCTCATCTTTATCCATGTATGAAGTAGGACGTGAATTCTAATTTCGAATCAACATTTCCAGATTTGTAGTTGAACTTCAACTCAAGCCTGTTGATTGTCCCTTAATTAACAGTTTTATCTTAATCAGCAAGTATAGAAATACCTGAGCAGTAGTGATTTTCTGAGGAACATGAGGTGTTTGATCCACGTTTACATCAGACTCGGAACTGACATTCTCTTCACTGAGAACAACAGGATTCTCCAACTCACAGGGAGCAACAGGGTTCGCCTCTTCAACAGGGGTCTCCTCCTCGAATGACTGTTTTGCAGCAGCAAGCTGGGTGTGATCTATTGGACATTTGCCAGCAGCAGCTGGAGGAGCAGGAGGTTGTTGGAATTTTGTGTGATCTATAGGACATTGTCCTTGCAAGCCCTCCGCTTTTACAGCCTCTACTATTGACGGCGTCATCAACGCTAAAGTGTAAATAATGGTCAGAGAATAGTCTTAATAGATTTTTGAAGACATTTTTGTGAAACAATATCAAAATTATAACAGCAATATCATGCACAATGTATTTATACAAAACAACTTCTCAACAAAATAACATCTTAAGTGAGGTTGTTGTTTAAGGAGGTACAAAGACAAACAATGAGAAAATGATACACACAAATGTAATAAGTAAACAAATATATATTATATACTCAACTTGTTTATTACGATACAATTTACATATTGGTCATTAAATATTGTCACAGTCAGTATTTATCGTTCAGCGACATGATTCCCATAACTGGTATAAAATATTTACAATTTGATAGATATAAAATTACTCTTCATATACATTATACAATTTGGTGATAAAATGATATTGTTTACTTCTGACAGTGTGTCCCAAAAATGGCAACCAAGTTGTTTTTGTAACTTCCGCAGGTTATACGGCATACCCTATACTATACGGCATACCCTATAGCCCCTGCAGATAATAAATTGCGTTCTCAAACCTTCCTAGAGTTATTAACACTTATTACTATTTACTTGGTTGCCTTTTTTGGGACAGCCTGTTATAAAAATGACAGTTATCAAAAATGTGTCCTCGAGTTAGACTGGCGGTTGGACTGCTAACTTAGATACAGCCTATGTAAAGCAATGTCACAATATTAATTGAAAGTGTCAACTGTAAGTGCGTTAGGTTGACTGAGTAAATGCGAGGTTGATAGATTGTCCAGGTTCAATGTTGACTACTTGAGTATGTTGAGTTTGTGAGTTAGATACGCAGTATGATCCCGCTGGAAGGTTCACGGCCACGCCCTTCTTTTGCGACACATGACCTGATTCACGAGGGTTGCCATGGAAACGCGCGCAATGCTGCTCCTCAAGCTTACTGTTGGGGTTGCACACGTGGTGAACTCGTTTACAGTAGCGTGTAGAGTTGTTCAGAAGAGAAGCTAACGAGTCAAACGCCTCGTTAACTGACAGAGGTGTTTGGGGTTCCTGAAGTTATACATTTACAATTTAAGCGGGCTTGCTACAAAAGTAACCGGGAAAGAAATGCGCAGCCAGTTCTTTTTACTTCCTGAACAAAGGCCACGACATATTTCTAAAATTTACTTTACACAAGCCTACAATAAGTACTAAGTAGCACGTGATAATTTTTAAAACTTACATTATTGGGAGGCTGAGAAAGAGGTTTGGGCCACTCTACAGCCCTGTCTTTGGCTCTTTCTAACACATCTTGTCCTGTTGTGAGAGCACGGCACATTGTACATGTAGTCCATTCTTCGGCCATTGCTGAGTAAGTTTTCAGTAATTAGGGTATTAATATTGTATTTGATTACTGGTTAAATAGTTACTTCTTGAAAATTGAAAAGTTTCACAAATTTCAATTGTATGGAAAAATGAGGAAATTTATTGATATACTATAAACATAGAAAGAATTAAACAAGAAAAGAAAAGAAGCTGACATTGAAGAAGATGAAATTGACAGTTTGTTATTTACCAAACATTAATACTATGTTTAAATGAATAAATTTATTGAAATGAAAAACAACAGTCTCCGGACTTTCGAATCAGTTATATTAATAATCAAGCAATTTGTATAGCTTGAAATGGATCATGTAATTGGACAGCCAGTTCTTATGCAGTCAGTACTTTAATTCTGGTCTATTAACAGAATATGGTATTGAGTTCTGATACACAGATTAGTTTTTGCATTTAACAGTACGCTAACGTTGATAAAATCAATATTAAGAATAGAAAAAATATGTATTCAATTTAGTTTCAACATTAAAAAGTAATAGATAGCGATTAAACTAAAAACTGTGTCCCAATCAAGCAGTTTTGTAGTACTGCAAACATTCCTCAGGCATGACATACTGGTGAGCTCTTCTTTCGACTATTTCCAACATCAGCAACCTTGACTTGTCCTGAATTTTAAATCTTCAAAAAATATGTACCTCGAGGATGTTGATTAACGTTCATGAATGTGCGGTATTCACGAAATTGTTTCATGAAAGGTACACTTAAATATATTCCATTTCTTCTTATTTAAAACGAAAAAGCAGTTTTAGTGAAAATGTTCAAAAGCAGACTTACAGAAGTACTGTCGTGGATAATAATTCCTCTGATTTTATCGTACAAGCTCTCCAACTCTCGAGAAACCTGATCTGCAGGAATCTTGGCGGCTCCGGCTTGAGCCACGTGATATATATGGTCTTCAAACTTCTTACCGTATCTCACTAACACATGGTGAATTGCTTTGTAGACCTGAAATTAAACTGCAGTTTTACAACAGGAGGACAGGACGAAAATTAAGAAAATTGTTGGTATCTGAAAGCCAAATCCGAATAGAATTTAAAAAAGTATTAGTACAGTAGAATTTAGCTGAGATTAACCTGATCAGGAAAGCCAGGTTGAGTCAAGATTTGCAAACATTCCTTGAATACGACATCGGTTAACGATTTGATAGGTTGACCGTCATGTCTGGTGATGTGAAGAGCTACCTGTTTAAGAGAAACATATTAGATATTGTGGAGGATCTTGCTAACATTTTCTAAAACCAACACTCTTATCCACTCCAACAGTTGATTTTAGATTTCTTAAACACTTGCATCATTGCCAGGATCTTTCTCAATCATCCCCAACAATGTGTATCATCCTTATACCTCAAAAGAACTAGAAGGTAGAATTGTTATGGAACAATTGATGCAAATGACTAAATTAAAACTTCTAAACTATATTCAAACCTCGGCTAATACGACCGTGAAAGAAGCATAAGCTTCTCCTTGATCTTCTGACATTGTTATTGGATTTTCGGGCTTTAATCTGAGCATTTCTTGATTCATCGCCCGCAAAGTGGCCGCCACCAACTGAAAGAGGGTTATTATTATTGCCAGTTTGCAACCGTTGTCTATTGTACACCGCAAGCAGAAATCATGTGTAGAAACCATATTATACACCTGATGTAAGATGATAGACTGATAACAGCCGCACTAACAAAATGTAAATAGCTAGCTAGTAGCTATCTACCTGTTGCCTATCTAACAAAATGTGCATTATCAAGAAGTGCATTATTACGAGATGATTGCAACTTTACAGATCCTAAAACCATGCAATTAAACTGTGCTGAGCTTTGCTATTATAATATTAAAGGTTTATTTTGAACAGTTGGCCGTTGGGTCCCACTGAGCTGTGGGGATATTATAAATCAAGAGGCTTGTATATAATGAACATATTATGACGATTATTATGTCGGCACATAAGGTAAACTTGTTATTATCTCCGCAATTGTAAATTGTGCGACGATCACCTTGCATCGTTAGCGGTGCATGTAGATTGTAGCTGGCTACGATACAAAATCTTACTTGCATAATGCATATCGTAGCGGCTTTAAAATTGATTGAATCGAACGAATTATATTAACGAACAAACGAATAATAATTCGGCCGCGCGCTAACTGAACAAAGAAAAACAGTCAACGCGCGTTCCAAACATATTTTTATGTAGAACCTTTCCAGACGTTTCTAGCACGCCTGGGCCCTGGAAATTAACTGTGATATACTGTATAACAAACAGGAATCCCCGTTCAGGAAGATTTCATTGTTATATTTACATTAAAGTTGATAAAAATCCAAATACCAGACAAACCTCTTTTGACGTTGGCATTGACTTATCAGCCTGTATAGTAGAAATAAGCTGAACAAACTCTTGTGACAAGGATAAGTTTCCGTAAATATCCTGAATACACTTTTCAACCCAGATTTTTGAGTTCTCCTGAGCACCCAAACAGTTTTTAATCACTTCAATGCAGTCCCTGTAACAGTCTAACTGATTTCGTCTCTTAGGATTCCTCAACAAGTTCAAACAAGAAGTAGCTATATCATGTGGAGTCTGAAGAGCAGGAGTAGTATCTGCTGGGAGTGGTTCTGTAACGAAGTGTGGTTCTGTAGTAGGAGCAGTGGGTGTTAGCAGAACTGGGGGTGGGGGGCTAGCCACTGGGGACTGAGAGTTGATTGTGCTGGGACTGTCTCCTGGAGGTCGGGTACCCCTGATACCTCTAGCTCGTCCTCTTCCTACAGCTGCTGCCATCTGCCCTAATATTGTTAACAAACATGAGCGGTTGGGAAGGTTAAGTAATTTTAGTGATTATTTCAGTGATTTGGAATCAGTCCACGTAATATGAGAATATCACAAATTATCGGTTTGTCTCTAACTTTCACTGTCATTTATCAATTAAATCGAGCATAACCCCATCACGCTATGGATTATAGGAAATTGGACGCAGAATCGCACAGCTTGATATTAACTTGTATGCTTTTTATTCGGCTCCGAGATACAATAGTTGTAGTTTCAATATGAGTGCCAATCCTTGCTCATTTTTAAACGGTTAAAGCAAACAGTAAATTAATAATTCAAAAACCCGAAAATAAATCGTTGAATAGCTAAATACAAATACAAATTACAAAATATACACATCTAAATCATTGGAAGCAGTAACAGTGAATATTATAATATAGAGTGGTAATCAAAACCAACTACGTCAAGCAAAATAATAAAACCATGAACACTTCAGTTATGTATCATTTGCATTGCTCAAGTTATTTCTCGTAGAACTTAAAAGTTCAAATAAGATGTACCACGGAAGATGTCTACTGAAACTGGCAGAATCTGATCAGAAAAAACGATTAAAAATATAACTTGAAAGTTGTTTTAACGAATTCTCATATCTTAATTCTAGATTCTACAAGCCTACAAGAGTACCAAACACAATATGAAACTCGTTATCAAAATGTTTCCGAACGAAGCCAGAAATACATATCATCCCATATCTAAAGTAACATATTATGTTATTTGTAATTTGAGTAATGTTACAAAATTAAACAACAGCTGCAATATTATTACATTAAGTCAAGTCTTAAACCAGCGTGGCCACACTCGGCATAATTAATTAATTAATTACTTATTCATAATTAATTACTCTGCTTGATCTAATTCAGGGAACTCAGTCTGCACTCTCATTTCTTGCCGATAGGTTCTGGGTATTCGATACGTTCTGGACATTCGATTTCTTGAGATTGTGGAAATTAGGCAAGACTTTAGCCAGAAACTCCAACTGTTGTGTTTGAGGCTGAAATATATCAGAAGTTGTAACATTTTATTTTGGAGTGTCTAAAACTTGGCAGACTGCAAAAAGATTATTATGGCGAAAGTTTACCATAAATTTATGGAAACGGATCGTATGGTTAACTGCATCACTTTGAGATTTATAAGCTCAAGTTCGAACACGATATCCTTCATCCCTGACTAAAATTAACCATTAATCATCAGACACATTATGTGTCCGACGATTAATGGTTTGTGTTACACAAACCATTGGTTTATCTTGCTGCTTTCTGCGTTGGTTGCCGGGCCCGTACACCACAGTCATGTTATCAAGGTGATCCTCTTTATCTAACACGCAGAAAACGGACACAACACAGCCGTCACCAACCGTCATGTCTCTTCCTAACTGAGACAGATAAGCAGTTATAACGTGGAACATGATATCATTAAAAGTCACTTAAATGATTCAAAATCCTTTATTTGGATGAATATCCTTTATTTATATGAAAATCCTTTATTTGAACAAAAACAAAAATACGGTCAAAAATACGGTCAAACGACTGTATGACTATTTAATACTGTCGACACTGCTATTATATAACAAATAATTTGAGCTAGCCTGATAGTATTCAGAAGGTATTAATGTAATGTACTGTGAGCTGGTCCCAAGTCCAGACGCCATCATTTAATTTTCATTACAATAAACCTGTCTAGTCATTCATTACTGATTATGGAGCGATCTGAAATATAATAGAAACTAACCTTGCATTTGCTCTCAAAGACATTATTGCTGCCTATCTTCAACGACTCGACATGGGTGCCCACTTCGAACACGTTGTAACTCCCAATGCACAGAGTCTCGCCCTCCTGTTTACCACATACGTAGTTTGTTTGAACCTGAGTAGGAGAAGTAGGGTAACATCCACTGCAACAAAGTTACTGGATAAAAATGTTTTACAGATTTGAATTTAACTTTACTCTTTAAATGTACTGTCGGGAATATCTGATGTGAAGACTGAAGAAACTACAGTTTATCAATAAGTTCAGTGAATTAAAAACAGAGCTGTTCTAGTATAGTAATTTAATTGCACTACTGATGGATCATTTTCTTGTTAACCCAGGACCAACTCATTACCGGAATGAACAAAAATTTAAACGAGTAAAATAAGGTCTAAAAAGGGAAAAGTACCTGGAGGGAACGAAGAGGAGCATTCCTACCTCCCCGAGTTTGGGGAGGTCGTGTTTCTGTCTCCTTCAGGAACTTAGCCAGGTCCTCGTCAGACATATCACCTCTGAAGTACAATAAGCTTAAATGGATATGTCGTGGAGATTCGGCTGATTTTTGGTAATTGCTAATATCGGTGTTAAAAGTATGCATTGATAGCATAAAATTTATAAAATATCATTTTTCCGCATTTTTTCACATAATCTTTTAAGTTTGACTTGCCTGTTGATAATCACGGTCTGTTCCTCAATCAAGCAACCCTCCCCGATAACAATGGGACCACCGTAAGCAAATATCCTGACTTTAGGGTGAATGATAGTGCTGTTACCTATAGTCACGTCACCTCTCAAATCCGCCTCTGCGCACACCACTGACCCCTTCGCAATTCTCAGACTGAGGATTTTTTAATGTTTTTAAAAGAATCTGTTTTCCAGAATACAATCTATTGTTCAGTATATTTGTGTTGATTTTGTTGCTATATCTGTTTTGTAATTATTTGGTGAACTGTGTATAATTATTAACCATAAAATCGGTAACAATATTTCAAGCGATGTAAAATCCCCTTACCTATCGTTGTTCATGACAGCTGATGTTATCAAGAATCCAGGTTGCCTTAGCCTAAAAGTTTGTAATTACAATAGACTATAAACCAAGAATAATTCAATACGTATCTGGAATTAGAATTGGCATGATTATACTGGTGTGTATAAACAAATATGGGTAAACTTTCTACAAGCATTTACCAGTATTGAAACGTGACATTCTAATATTATGTGATAAGTCAATGCTGCAAGCTCTAAGATTATTCGCCTGTCACATGTCAAGACAATTTCCAATTTATCTCATATTATGGTATTAATAGCTACATGCAGCTCACATAAAATGTGAGATTGTGACATGTCTACTATTTCATGACCTATTGTCAAAACAGTATCTATGATTTTAGTGCTTTCGGTGAGGATGTGCTGTAAGCACCCTTAAGGGGGCCGGGGGGGTCTTCATCAAAATTCTCTCGAAATCGAGTTTATTGTTGTTTCTGATAGAAGGGAGTGATATCTATCAGCTGCTTAAACTCAACTATTAACTCGATTTTAAACAACTATAATTATAAACTCGATTTCGAGAGAATTTTATGAAGACCCCCCCCCCCCCGGCCCCATTGATGTTAGTAAAACACTATGACTGCAACATAATTTGATAATTCAATGTGCTATGCAAATGAAGAATTAAAATATGATAAAATGATAACATTGGTGTAATCTATTATAAAATTAATTGGTTAAGACAATGGTTAAAAATTTAAATGGTGCCATATTTACCACCATATGAAATATCGATTCAAGTTAGTTAATATTATAGGAATATAAATAAACATTTTAATCTTAATTGTACATAAAATGCTTTTAAATGTATCATTACTTTAATGAGATTTAAAAATGTAATTAAAAAGCCATAAAAAACCTAAAAACTCACAAGGCGTTAAACCAACAAAAACGAGTTTAATATTCTATGATAGATGGCCTCCTCGAATCTCGATTGAAAAACAATAAAAAACAATTCTAAAAACTCTTTATTGCAAATAGTTAAGTAGGATTAGTGTTAAACAACAAATGTTTGGAATAATTGAAAATTTGTTTTGAAATTTAAACAATTTAAAAAATAAACATAAAATAAATTAAGTGCTCTGAATCTTGGCAAAAATTTGTAAGTAGAGTTCTCAGCGCATCTAATCTAGAACAATTACTTCTGCTCTTTTTGGATTGACTTTGTTTTGATCCTGCTGGTTTAAAGCAATTCTTTTTCCAGAAACTAACTCCAGTAATCTCTCGTACTCTTCTTTGTCTCTTCTTAATGCAGCAACTTTACCCCATCATAACTTTGTTTTGTCTTCACAATATCTACAACGGCAGATGAGCCTCGCTCAGCAGGAGTTAAGTTCATGGAACAGCCCCTGTCATTTCTATGCTTACGTGACCAATTATATGCATGATTAAGGTCGTTGAAATTTCTGTAAGTGAAGGTGTGAGCAGGCCCTCTGAGAAATTGCTGAACTTTCGGATGGTCAGGAACAACGGCAGTTGGCTGCTTCCAAGACTTATCAGGCTCCCCTCTAGAAATTATAGTTCCCAAATGTTTAAGTCTGAATTTACAGGCTTCGAGTAAAAAATCGGGCACATTTCCTTCAAGAAAAACCACTTGGATCCGTCCAACAAGAATGTTAATGAGGGACTGTGAATTTTTGGGTAGACATCTAATCGAACTAACAAGTTTCGTCAACGTCTGTTCCAAGTAACTTTGCACCAAATATGTCTTTAAAAGATGATCAAATATATTAGAAATACTATGATGCACTTTTGTGGCTTCATCAGATTTCTCGTTTGTTAATTCATCAGATACAATTGATAGGAATTGTGAGATAAAGAGATGATGTGTTAAATGACCATCTTGGAACTGAGAAACAGATGAGATTGCTGAATCCATTTCATCAACAGAATCTATCATTGAAACGAGCTTTTCAATTTGTCCACTAGGAAATGTATCGTGCTTGTTCATAAACTCCAATATATTTGAATATATTGAAGTTTCACATCCTGTTTGAACACTTTTAAAGCTAGATGTATTCGAATCATAGTACCTGTGTCTTGGAGAAGAAGTGTTTATCAACGTATAATCCATAACTATTTCGAGTGTTTCGGTTGAATTAAGCCAACTTATACTGCTGCAGCACTGCAGAACTTGTTGTGTTTGAGATTTATAGCTTTTCTTGAGAAGTTCTTTGACCGAGAAAACAATTTTCTCATTGTCCTTGAAACAGCAAGCAGTATGAGCTACAACACAAGCAGAATCATCATTTGGTATTCCCCACTTGAAAAGGATTTCTAAAAGGTGACATGCCTTCTTAGCAAAATTAAGAATGGTGCTCATTTCCAACAACTTGATTACATCATTGGGATTGGAGGACACATTTTTCAAGGATCTCCACAACAGTTTGAATCCTTGTTTACCTTCATCCAGTTCTCCTTTCTTCAGCAACGTTAGAACATGTGAAACTCCGTCTGACAAGCACGACCTAATTTTCAAGGAAAGTGATTTATCAGCTCTCCAAAGAACAACAATTTTTTTCTGGTACCATCGCTCAAGACTTACTCCTTCATTACCAGTAGGTCCAGAACAAGTTCCTTTTCCTTTGTCATATCCCCAGAATTCTTCATCATCAGAAGATCCATCAGCACAGTTTATGGCTTTGGTGGGATCAAATTCAAGATTAATTTTGTCAGACTTGCTGGTCAGTGAGATAAAATGAGAAAGCTTGATTGGTCCAGATTCTCTCCAATCACTATCAAAATCACATCCACCATGACAACCATCACTTCCATCACTAGCATCACTGCTATTCTCCCTTTCATAGCCTCTATGGCTATTACAAATCCCTCTCTCAGTAACCCTTTTGTCCACTGTAGCAATATACAGTTCCCATCGATCTTTACCAAACTGCAACCTATCATATTCAAGAGCATCTTTTAAGCCAGAAATTGTGTTCTTGTCACAACCTTTCAAAAAATCAAGGGTACCAGAATGAATACTAGATCTAGAATATTCATAATCAAGAGCCCAGTAGAGGATATCAGACTTGTCCATAAACTCATTTAATAGACTGCAAAGCTTAACAGCATTTGTGGAGGCGAGATAAGGGGATGGCCTCAATCCATTTCCCCGCCAGCAAAGGGAATAAACAAGTGCAGCACGATATCCAGTGGTCACTTGCTTGAGCTCATGTGGGCAGCTAGCATAATGTGCCACAAATGAACAATGAGTACTACTTTCAGGAGTGCTATTATTAAAAGTGTGAAGTGTGTTGCAATGTTTCACAACTAGATCACCTCCTGTGAAAATTGATGGGAGTTGGATAATCAGTGTTCCAAACATGTTGATCTCTTTTTCTGTATCCCTATGCTCCTTGAATTGTCCTCCAGGTTCATAGAATAGAAGCTTGTAAGATTTACCATAGATAGTAGCATCTATAAGTCCTAGGGCCGGTTTGATCTTATCTTCAATCAGTAGCGAAATTTGTTTTGTGAATGTTTTATTTTTTATTACAAATTTTTCTGGGTCCAATTGAAAGCTGTTTCTAACAGAGAGATCAACAAGGATTTGCTCTCCCAAGCCATATGGTGACTGAGAGCACAAAGGTTTTATGCTATCAAAGGTAATCTTATTGATGGGTAAAGGTAAAACACCATAATCTTTTATTTCAATATTTGGATGACATTGTAACTCATCAGGAGGTAAAACCCCACCTGTGGCAAAATCACCACAATTTTCTGAAAGAAGAGACAATAATGAGAACAGCTCCTCTTTCAAATCATGGCATGACTTCTCTTGTCTTTTGCCTTCCACATTAACATTAACTTCTGAGGATAATGTGGAAATGTTTCCGGAAATGGATGGGTGATCTGTCTCAAGTTTAATGGTTTTTGTTTGAAAAGGATGTAACTCCTGTGAAGACGACCTTTTCAATGCCATCCTGAAAACATCTTGTTTAGATTAAATAATAATTTAAAATCGCCTCTTTTATCTTATCACTCACCTTACAATATACAATAAACATCCTAGAAATTTAATTATTTCATCAAAGCCAAAAATCAACATCTCCCCAAAAATGGATGGTCAATAGAATTTCATGATAAACCGACCTTTGTTGCCAAATGTGTTAAAAATGTCTCTCTTTTTTGTAATTAGAACCTCTTTACAGGTAAATCTATCTCCGTCCTCAGATCAGTGATGAATGCTTGCATTACATTGCGTGGACTGAGGAAAACAAATTTTAGGAAAACAAATTTAAATTTTGGTATTTATTCATAACAATCAAAACATATCATATCATAAAAATAAAGCCGCGCGTTGGTTGACTGCCTCAGTAAGGTGAATAATTTAAGCTTGAAGGTGCCCTGCGCATTTACAGAACCTTATGCGGCGATCACATATTCACATATACCCATCAATAAGATTAAACCTTTGATAGCATAAAACCTTTGTGCTCTCAGTCACCATATGGCTTGGGAGAGCAAACCCTTGTTGATCTCTCTGTTAGAAACAGCTTTCAATTGGACCCAGAAAAATTTGTAATAAAAAATAAAACATTCACAAAACAAATTTCGCTACTGATTGAAGATAAGATCAAACCGGCCCTAGGACTTAAAGATGCTACTATCTATGGTAAATCTTACAAGCTTCTATTCTATGAACCTGGAGGACAATTCAAGGAGCATAGGGATACAGAAAAAGAGATCAACATGTTTGGAACACTGATTATCCAACTCCCATCAATTTTCACAGGAGGTGATCTAGTTGTGAAACATTGCAACACACTTCACACTTTTAATAATAGCACTCCTGAAAGTAGTACTCATTGTTCATTTGTGGCACATTATGCTAGCTGCCCACATGAGCTCAAGCAAGTGACCACTGGATATCGTGCTGCACTTGTTTATTCCCTTTGCTGGCGGGGAAATGGATTGAGGCCATCCCCTTATCTTGCCTCCACAAATGCTGTTAAGCTTTGCGGTCTATTAAATGAGTTTATGGACAAGTCTGATATCCTCTACTGGGCTCTTGATTATGAATATTCTAGATCTAGTATTCATTCTGGTACCCTTGATTTTTTGAAAGGTTGTGACAAGAACACAATTTCTGGCTTAAAAGATGCTCTTGAATATGATAGGTTGCAGTTTGGTAAAGATCGATGGGAACTGTATATTGCTACAACATCCTAGAAATTTAATTATTTCATCAAAGCCAAAAATCAACATCTCCCCAAAAATGGATGGTCAATAGAATTTCATGATAAAAAAACTAGCCAGCTGCTGTGGCATGCTAAATAGAATTAAAGATAACATTCCCACATCACTCCATAAAGATCTATATCACACTCTGTTTGAAAGCTATCTTGCATATGGTATAACTGTCTGGGGAGGGGCATCTAACAAAAAACTTGAACCTCTGTTCAAAGCACAGAAAATGTGTGCCCGCATAATGTTTGGAGATAAAGAAGCATACTTGGATAAATTTAAAACTAGTGCACGATGCAGACCCTACGGGGAGCAAATCTTGGGCAAGGAATTCTACAGAAAGGAGCATACAAAACCCCTCTTCAACACTCATGAAATCATGAATGTGCATAATCTGTACTTCTACCATTGTATTAATGACATCTTCAAGGTCTTGAAATATAGAACCCCTATATCACTATACTCCCTCTTTGAAACATCTGGCAGACTTGGCAAAGAGACCCTCATTCTCACACCTAAACCATCAGACAGCTACATATACAGAGCAGGGACAATATGGAATACAGTACGACAAAATCTCATGCTAACTACATTCACCTGTTATAAGCCCAATCACCTCAAATCATCCATAAGAATCACCATCACTCACACTCAAAAGGAAGGAGAACCAAATGACTGGAACTTAGCCTTAAACAGCGTTCGACAAAATTCAAAAACTTTAAAATTGACCTTGCCTAGATTACTTAAGCTTGAAAAAGCGGTAATATCTTAGCAAAATATAACTTGCAGCAGCCCCATACCTTGTCATGAACATAATATCGAAACTACCTCTGTGATCACATCTTTCTCTGGGTGCAAAATGAATATATATATAGGTTTATTAGTTTTATAGAAATTTAAAAGTTCTATAGAAATTTATTATATAAGGATTATAAACATTTTGTTTGTGTGTTTTGTGTTATGCATTTTTATACCTATTTTAGAAGAGATTTTTATAGAATGTTACAAGTGCAGTAGGGTCAGTTTCAGACGAATTAAGCATAAATGACATCATTGCCATGTCTGAAGTGGTTTGTAAATGGGCCATTGTTAGCCCCAAGCGTTTTGGTCCCTCATTCCTGCCACTCAGCATTGCCTACTGTAAAGTAGAAATTTTTCTAAGATAATAGAGAAACTGACCTTGTCTCACTAAATTCAACCACTTACCATAATTAAAATACTAACAACCAAATAAAGTTTTTTGAATAATTATATACAATCACCAAAAATATTTCCTCAAGTTTACTTTTAGCTAACTAATTCGTGGTTTAAGCTCTTATTTTATTTATGATTAAAGGAATGTAAAATAAAACTTTTCGTTTCATTGAAAACTTTTCGTTTCATTGACCTTTGTTGCCAAATGTGTTAAAAATGTCTCTCTTTTTTGTAATTAGAACCTCTTTACAGGTAAATCTATCTCCGTCCTCAGATCAGTGATGAATGCTTGCATTACATTGCGTGGACTGAGGAAAACAAATTTTAGGAAAACAAATTTAAATTTTGGTATTTATTCATAACAATCAAAACATATCATATCATAAAAATAAAGCCGCGCGTTGGTTGACTGCCTCAGTAAGGTGAATAATTTAAGCTTGAAGGTGCCCTGCGCATTTACAGAACCTTATGCGGCGATCACATATTCACGAGGACCTGTGAGCGCCAAAATTAATTTAAAGTTTCTAGAAATCATACATCACTACGAGTTACTCATGCTTTTGGATTATAAGAGTGCGGATTGTCAGGTATTTCATTCATTCATACTTAATCGGTTTAAAGCTGTATATTTAGAACTCACTATTGTTTAAACTACGAAAGCAGAACGTAGATAATGGACAATATACCGACGACAATACCAAGGACCCGAGTGCCGCATTGACTTTTCCGGATCCGTTTTTACCGAAGGCTTATCCACCAGTTACTCATGCTGCATGTATAGTCTGATCATATTTTGTCTTATCTCTAGCAAGCATTCTGTAAATTGAAGTGTCGTATTTATTATAGAAGAGCCAGCCAACCTCCGCATTATAATCTTTTGTGTGCCAAGTTCGTTTATAAAATCTAATCATATAATAAGATTGATCCAATAGTCTAAGATGAACGGTATATCATAGCTCATCGTTATTAAAATCCGAATGGATGAATTAATCAAGTAATGTTCCCTTTCAACACAACTAAACAACAAACAAATGCTTGCTCACCAGTGATGACGCAATCGTAGGGGCATGCAGTTGGTTCAGATAACTCTCACCCCGACGACGGCGTCGAGAAATTATCAAATTATGCATTTGCGCCATACTGGACACATTTTATATTTAATATTTTGTGGTTTGTAGAAATTAGTGTCATCTACAGTATAGCTTAACTGGCGAGCAAGCATCGTCCCACTCGGCCGGGACGAAAATACCGAGTCCAATCACAGAGAGTTAACCAAAAGATAAAAATAAGAGCTCGGATATCAACAAAAATCACACGCTCCAGACGACGGGGGAAGAGAGGAAAGGAAGTAAGCTGCTGGGCTCAACAAATTTTGATAATTGTAAACAAATTCGTTCTTGTGCCCTATAATAATTTGGTATTGAGGTATGACCCTGTACTGTGCGTGATAGTGAAAATGAAAGTGAATGTGAATCTATAATGCGAACGAAATGAGTTATGGCCAGACGATTCTTCAATTTCAAAGTAATAAAGTCAAAGGACTCTGTTTTAAAATACAAGCTCATTCTTATCGAAGTTTAATTCTGTCCATTCTAATTCTTCGTACCTGGACTGTATCTTGAGTAGCTCACTTTTCAGTGTTACTTTAACTAAGTTCGTTGACTTAGTAAAGCTTATCAAACTGTCAATTTTTCGACAGTCGTTCCACATTTCTGTTGATTGATAAATGAAAGAGGAGGATGGGTTCGGGGTGATGAACTGGTCTGAACGTCTTTGTGATGGTGATCTGTGGAGTAAAGATAGGAGTGAGATTGGAGATTCTAATCTGACAATTTTGAACAGTTCTAATAGACATGTGTATTTGTACAGGTTGTGGACGGTAAGAAGGCCGTTCTTGTTAAACAACGGCTTTGTATGCTCTTTTTCAAAGAATTCCCTTCCTAGGATTTGTTCATCTATACAACGTGTTCTGGCACATACTCTAAATTTATCTAGATATGCTTCAAGGTCACCAAATAGTATTCTGATACATTTTTTCTGAGTGATGAAGATAGGTTGAAGCATATTGTTACTCGACCCACCCCATACCGATATTCCAAATCTTAGGTGTGACTCAAATAACGTGTGGTACAATTCTTTATGGTGTTTTTTCGGGATAACGTGTCGTATTCTACTGAGTCTTCCGATCTCACACCTAAGTTTCGAGTTGAGGGCTCTTATTTGAACATCCCATTTTAGCTTTTCGTCAATAATAACACCTAAAAACTTGGTCTCTTTAACTTGCTTTATTACCGTATTATTCAGAGTTAGTATATATTCTGATTCGTTATCTGCCTCATTATCAGTAGCTGTACGTGACGGATTGAAGTGAATGTAGCAGCATTTCTTTATATTTATATGTAATAGATTGCATTTCATGTACTGGTGTAACAAACGGAGAATTTCGTTTGCTCTTTCATACAGTTTTTTTCTACATTCATCTAATACGAATATGTTTGTGTCATCTGCAAATAGTATGAACTTGCCCAGATCAGTTGTTCTAAATAAGTCGTTAACATATATTATAAATAGCAAGGGTCCGAGACAAGAGCCTTGGGGAACTCCAAAGAGAACAGGCAGCTTGTCAGACTCTTCGCCCAGTACAGAGACATATTGATATCTATTAGAGAGATAACTAGCGATGAGTCTATTAGCGTTTCCACGTATTCCATAGTTGTCTAGTTTATTAAGTAGTTTTTCATGTGAGATTATTATTATTATTATCAAACATGTCAATCTTACAAATGTCAACAATCCTAAAATAATTTAGAACCAAAATGTGATCCTTTGTAAAATTATATGTCCCAATAATCAAATTGACTTGTACTCAAGTATAAAGTTAAACAATTTGCTCCAATAAGCACGGTCACTAGCAAGTTCTCTCAAATGGAGAATATCATCATACGACTCCAGCAAGATGAAGCGCTTCCAGAGGTCAACCTTCAGGTGGTGCAGGAGGTTACGTCTGTGAGCCCCGAGTCTACCAACTTCACCACACATCTCGACAGCAAAACACAGCGCAGCTTGAGCTGGTGATCTTTCATCGCTCCTCAGTATGTGTCCTAGCATCTTCCACCTAGATAACTCAGCACGCTCAGACATAGGAGTAGAGTTACTCTGTTTGTAGATAGATCAATAAATATTCCAAGTACATGCAGTTTTTTGCTAAGACAGGATTCTATGTAATTCACTGAGGAGTTGAGGGCATGGCTTGTGGAGTGATTTTTTCTAAATCTGTACTGGTTCTCGTAAATCATTTTCTGGGACTGAAAGAAGCTATACAGTCTGTTGTAAATAATTTTTTCAAATATCTTACCAAAAACAGCTAAGGTTGATACTGGCCTATAGTTTTCCAGCAATTCCTCATTATCCTTCCTATAGATCGGACTGATTCTCCCAGTCTTTAAATCATCTGGGAATACTCCATTCCTCATGCATTCACTGTATAATAAAGATAGTGTAGGACAGATCACTTTAGACGATTCTTTAACTAACTGATATTAAGAACATCTTACTTAATCATTGTTGAATTGGACTGTGGAGTAAGCATTGACATAACATCCACAAACAAAGACCAGCATCATACCCTGCGGTTTCTTAGCGTTCGCGACTATACCCATTTGTGATTCCACTGTGTGGACGTAGGTATGACAAATCATATATCTTCGTAAAGTACATCCTCTGACTAGGAAATCACAAGTTTAATTAGTTCTGGAGACTGTTCCTGGACAGAGTTATGACGGTTTAAAACTTCCGCGCCGCGCAATAGCCCCAAAATGGCTAAAAATATACATCGTCGGAGAATAACTTTGCGTAGGGAATGCGCGAGCACGACAATATGATAGTTAACATTGATTTTCGACCGCCGGCACCATAGCCTAGTTGGCTAAGCACTAAGAGGGCGATTGACCGTGCTAGCTGAGGGTTCGAATCCCGGTCTGACCTTTAATTTAGTTTGAACTGAAACAAGTTGTTTACTATTTTCATCAAAAAGCTTCTCTAGTGTTAGGTTAATATTGATTAGTTAATCATATTACAAGTTGTACTATAGGATGAAATGCATAATTAGAAATGGGAAAGCAGCTATACGCAAAGCGTCGTTATGCTACAATATTATAGTAATAACATTGTCTGTCTCAGATTATTTTTAATAATAATACAAGAAGCGACCAGCATCGCATCTTCATCGATTAGTTCGGAGTCGTCGCTGTATTCAGCTATAACATTGATTTTTAATTGATGCTATAGCAGATATGAGCAGCTTTAATCAGTCTGATTTGGTAGGTTTTGGGCTGGGCACAGTTTGTTAAGGATTCTGTTTCTATCTGTTGTAAAACTTGATGGTCTGCTGTGAAAAAAACATTTTGAAGGCAGAAAGCTCTGGATTGGTCTTTTAAATGCCTTTCTCAACGACAATCCCTCCTTAGCAGTTACTTATATTAAAACTTTTTGTTCGGACTATTGACATGTAGTGTCTGGAGAAGGAGGGCAACAAAGGAGCACTTCTCAGTTGTACAGTGGGCATTTCTAGACGCTGCTATCCATTACCTTCGACATCTGAAACAGATTTTAATATAAGCAACTAATTAATAATACGGGTGAGACTTAAGTTTCAGTAAAATTAAATCTGACACTTGTGTGCAGTAGCGAGAGAAAATCCAGTGCATCTCAAACTGCTAAACTTGGCTTACTGTTTTAAAATCGTGACCTGAAATTGTTGAAATTCCAGCCTCCAAGATCAGAGTTGCTTTTACGTCCTCTTAAGAGGCTATCGAGATTCGAGATTCCACACTGTGTATGCTCTTTTCTCTGTACTTCCGGGGGTTGTATAAACCTGAAGAATCAAACAGTTCAATACCAGAGAGAATGCTGAAGACTCAGAAAGTTGTCCAAAAATGTTTTCTTTAAATACACAAATCCGTATTTTTCTCTTTAGTAGCGATTTGAAACAAAATTTACCTTCTTTCGGACTGAATTTTTAACTGAATTGAAGTATAAACGATGACCTCTACAATAGTATTAATTACTTAGTAAAGTTATCGTCAGAAGTCAAGTTATGGTTGATTTTTAAAGCTTGAAAAAGCTAAAATTAAAAAAAAACTTTGCTCAATGACGCGCGGCTCAAGAATGCGCGTGTGTCGCGAGCGCAATTATTGCTTACAATTTTCTTTCATTCGGCAAAAAAACAACTGTGACCAACATACATGTTATAAAACTCTGCCTAAAATCCTGGAATGTTCTGGAATTATAAAGTGTGCAAGGATTTAGGATCGTAATCAATTTCCCCGCCAAATCCAAACTTTTTCCTGTAGCATATTATCACAAATACGGCGTGTACTGTACAATTTTTGCGCGTTATAAACCTAGATTCGTTCTGGCGAATAACGAAGCCTCTAGTTCACATCCAATGAGCGGGCTAGTATCATGAAGGAAAGATTTCGAGTTGAGAATACGTCAGATGGCATCTTAGAGTATTCAAAGACAGGACAACACCTGTTATGCTCCAGCTGTACAAATCCCTGATAAGGTCCAGAGTGGAGTACTGCTGCCCGCTTTGGAATCCAAACAAGATCTATGATATCCAGAGCATACAACGCCAGTTCACTAGACGGATTCTAGGGCTCAGAGACACCGATTATTGGAATAGACTGAAGGAACTGAAACTTACATCACTGCAAAGACGCCGAGAACGCTACACCATCATACATCTGTGGAAAGTTCTCCAGGGTATATGGTCATGTTAGAGATTGATGGGTCCCTTTTTTACTTTTTTCTAATAAATCATCCTGTGTTAGTGGAGCTATACTGTGACATTTGGATACATAGCTTAGGTAGCGAAAAATCACATCCTCCTCATAAAAAAGAAAAGAAATTAAAAGCTCAACCTGGAGCGAAACTATAGCCATTCTTGTATTTAAAGAGAGTTGTGATAACTGAGCACCTGTTCTGATAATTAAAACTCTCAAATTATGATCAACGAGCAGTAAATTTATGGTTTTGATGCAGATTGAACAGTAGAAATATATCAAAAACTGAGGCTCCACCAAAGCTGATACAAACTCAAAATGGCCCTAAAACTGCATTAACTAAACCTCCCCCCTCTTCTATGGACTGATTATTCCTAGAAAATCGATGACCCTCTACCGCAACATGTTCGAGGAGATAAACACCTGGGCTTCTTGGGCCTTGGGGCTACCAACCACAATCCATCCTCATGGACTACGAGCTCGCCATTCACAACGCAGTTTCCTCATGCCTGCCTGCCTAGTATGGGCCGAAAATAAACTAGTAGTAAACTATGGCTCAGATCATATCTCAAATTGGCAATGTTACGTATACAAATTTGCAAGTAACAGTTCAGATCATGTCTCTAATTGGAAATGTGTCGTATTGAAATCAGATCACAATTTCGGACAGATGTCGTTTTTTTTTCTGGTACCCTTAGTCGGACAGATGTCGCTGTCGGACAGATGTCGCTGTCGGACAGGAGTCGTGTTACCGGAGCAAACGTCAACTTAGCGTCTAAAAATGTGTTTAAAGTGCTCCACCAGGTTGATACAAACATTTTGAACTCAATCAATGATTCCATCAGAAAGATATGATAATTGTTAACTCATTTTAATGATCAAACATTCCCAATTATGATCAACTATGGTGGAGCAGTAAATAGAAAATCACTAGTTTACGTCTCTAATTTATGGTTTTGATGAAGATTGAACAGTAGAATCTATTACGTATTACATAAGTTCTCACGCAACACTCTGTAATATAGATTTAGCTCCCAGTGCTCCACCAGGTTGATCTAATTGGTCAATATAATTATTACATACCACTGTACTAGGATTGCTAGCTGAGGGGACAAGATATGAGAGGGATATTTAAGTCCACGAATTTCTTCCTAAATACAGTAACTAAAGATCCAATTCTGCTCCACCAGGTTGATCCCAGGGGTATCACTACTTTATAAATCACTTAGGGGTGAACTATCATACATATTAGAAAGCTATAAGTTCAATTAGTTCTAATTTTAGTACTCTTAAAAGATGGTTTTAAACGTCCAAAATTTAGGCTTTTAAATACGAGCTCCACCTTTGTTGAGCAGTTTTTGGCAGTCTTAATCACCATAGTATTATGATAATTAGCGTCTGGAATAATATTCACAGATCATTATGAGACAAGTTTAATGGCAAAATGACTGATTTTGAACAAGTCAAGTTTTAGAATGAGTCCATCCACTTGAGTTGGGACCTTATGGGACCTCCTAACAAAGCAAATGGTATTAAAAACTATGTGCCATTGAGTTTACAATGAAGTTTTGGTAGAAATTATAATATGACCATGTTTTCACTTGGTATAAGTTGACCTATTTTACACTGGCCGCTCCACATAGGTTGCACACCAAAAGTGTCTCAACCGAAACAATACGTGTTCCCATTATATGCCTTCTTCACCTGTAGACATTGATAAATACAGATATGCCACATCCACCTTCCCACAAATGGAGCACTTTAATTGTGTTTTTTAATGGTCACTGGCTCCACCAAAGTTGATATTTGGATTTTCTGATGACATGAATCTGTAGAGAAGTGTCATAGGAATACTGTGGTGAAATATTTTCTGCAAGCTAGCTATGGTTTGGATTTTATGAAGTCATAACTGATTGACAGTGAAAAGTAGGTAATTAGTAGAAAAAAAGGGACCCATCAATCTCTAACATGACCATATGTCCAAATGAACTAGATGTACAGTTCAGAGAGAATGTCAGACTGGGAGTTAAAGTTATACTCCCTTCTCTCACAAAAACTGAACTTGAAGTAATAATGAATCTCAAAGAGACGGATGGACACTGGATAGCCAGATGATCAAGGGTCGACCGAGGGTAGGATTTGCGACCGATGCCGAAGAAATTTTGCTTTTAGTAGCAAATGCACACTCAACTCCTTCCTGCTACTGGAATACACTATACACTAGTGTACGTGTAATAGTGTATACATAGTATATTACACACCAGACCTATCCATTCATAAGGAAACATTGTCAATTAGCGGAAACCGTGCTGATGGTCTGGTGATATCATTCATTCCCAATCAAGTTCAACTGTCACTCAGGCGTGAGGTTCTGGGGTTCATCAACTGTGCTACTAATGGATTAGAAGTTTTACTCCCCGTTTAATAGTCCGAGTAGTTATCAAATATTCAGTCAGAACTTTCAATGAAAGGAACAAATCATGAAACTAAATAATAATACACGATTAAATCAGATTGCTATTTGCTATTGTGTATTCAATACGGTTATTATCACCTTAGTATCCTTGTTTCCTACATGTGTAATAAGTAATATCTCACCCAAGAGGGAGACAGCAAGAACTGTTGGAGTATTCCAATACCGCCAGAATGTGTCGCCATACACTGTACTACCATTTATAACCTGAGAACCATGTAAGGAAAGGATTAAATTAAACTCATTAGATTCGAAATAATGGCGCTTAATAAAATCTAGTATCTTATTGGGTTATTAAACTAACCTGCCTTCAATCAAAGAAACAAGCTTGGGAAGAACTAGATGTAAATTAGGCGCAAGTTTAATATCGGAGCAGAGCTATTTAATAATACAATGAAACAATAAGTTTTATTTTACATTCCTTTGATCATAAATACCCTAAATAAAATAAGAGCTTAAACCACGAATTAGTTAACTAGAGGTAAACTTGAAGAAATGTTCGTTGGTGATTGTATATAATTATTTTAAAAACTTTATTTGGTTGTTAGTATTTTTATTATGGCAAGTGGTTGAATTTAGGGAAATTCAGTCAGACAAGGTCAGTTTCTATATTGTCTTAGAAAACTAAATGAAGCTCAGATCAAGAAATTTGAGGAATACTTGGTGAAAGTTTTTCAAGCTTACAACAGAGTTTGTCACATTTGACATGTTAAGAGCCTATCAATAAAGAAATAATGATTATATATTTGACTTGCCACCAACATCGCACTGGCTAAGGGGACACATCCCCAAAGGGCCACATCCCCAGATTACTGGTCTTTCGACTTTCGTCAAAGACCAGTCCAATATGTTGGTCACATGTTTCTGTAAGAACAAAGATATCGACAACAGATGTGGCGGGAGATATAAATTCTCAAAGAAAGGTGTGCTTAGCTATGCTTATTGTGTCTGCCAAAACTGATCTGTTGCAACACAGTCAAAGACAGATCAGGCCCACCTAACTCAACCTAAGACTCTAAGAGAAAGCAGCCATTGAAACCTTCAAGAAATACACCTAAAAAGGCTAACAAAGACTAATTTCATATATTTCCTAAGAATATTTAGGTCAATCATTGCATATGAATAATGAACTGTTACTTAACTATCCAGTAAATGGAAAATCTGACTATTTTATTTATTATCAAGGAAAAGTTTAATGCTATTCATCAAATAGATTATCATCCTATATTGAGTTGTGATCTCATGTATCTATTTTACAAATTTATGTCAATTTACTACATAACAATAGTAGTAGAAGTAGTATAAAGATGTCATATGAATGGCTTAGAATTAACAAGCTGAGACGAAATGTTTCAAAATCCTCATTCATGGTATTAGACAAATGTCCTAATCTTGATAGACTGTCGATCCCTCTTGATTTGGAAGATGGCAGTCTTCACATAGAAGAAACCAAATCCCAGAAACACCTAGGTCTGGTGATAGACAACCTATTAAACTTTCAGGACCATATTGATTATGTAGGATCATGTTACTAGGAGAATAGGAGCATTATATAGGTTTTTAAAAACTACTTCCACAGAAATATAGAAAAATATTTGTAAACGCTCTTATGCTTCCTCAATTTGATTACATGGATATTATAGCTGATATTACATTTTGAATGCTTTCGACTAGTTTCTAGTACAATTGCAATTACAAAAAATTATTTTAATGCAGTCACTCAGATAAGTTTATAACAGGACACATCAACAAAGACACATACTCTGCCCACAATAAGGGGCCATAATTGTTTCAATTATGAAACTGTATAGAATTATTATTATTATTAGTACAATCGCCCACAATTTAATACTCTGTACTCAGATTAAACTAACTCACCTAGCCGGGCCAAAGGGATCGGAGAGGGCGAACAGAACTGTTGTATTATTATCTCATGACGTCAGAATGTAGTTCATCTTGAGAAGAAAATATTTCCACTACTCTTCATCACATTCTGAAAAATATTATTCATTGATATATAGTATAATTACACAGCAGACTTCTGTTTTGATTTGAACGGGTCATGTTTCATGAGCAAATTAGGAGCCCTTACCACTGCCGTAGATCATAAGTCCATATTTTAGCAACCATATTTTGAGAATGCTGCATTCTGGACGGCATTCTTTTTCAGATCAATTCACCTGGACAAAAATAATTATCGAGTAGTTACCCTGTCTTCACTGCAAAAATTATTCGATGAATGAAAGATTGTTATTATCACTTATCAAACGAGATAGCTACAACAAATATCATCAAGTGTCTAGACGAAAGGTCTTACCTCTATTTTCTGGTTGCGGGTTGGTTGAACATTTTAAACTTAAAAGTTAGCGAGTGCCAGCGGTATCCATTTGCAATTGAACAATGTTAATGAAAGATATCAGCTTAAATTACGTGCATGGCATGACTCTACAAACTGGTTACCTTAAACTCAGTTTCAATACTCAAAACGAAAATATTTACTCCGCAAACATTTACAAAGTTTGCAATTTGGATAAAGCTTGGATGCGCGGCTTGACTACTTGACTAGAATTACATTGAAAAATAAAATTTCTAATGTTTTATTTCAATGTTAATGACTAGTATATATACTAGTGTAGCGTAACAATTATATTATATATCATATATTAATCATGACAATACCATAATTATCAATACTGAACGCGTAATTAGCAAATAGAATAAACTACCGTCCGCGTCAATCATTATTTACAAATAGTCTGCTCCATTAAATAAAACATTATAATCCTTTATGAAATGACCACTTGTATATTTGAATAACAATTATTGCCAAAATTGCAAAACTGAAGTTTAAATTAATAATTAAATATAATTTGAAATTAGTCGTTGTAGTATTGCGCGCGGCGCGAGTGACTGTTCGTTCAACACACTCGCTGCTAATAATGTATGCGTCTAATGCATCATTAATGGAAGGCGCGCCGGTGTAATTTTTGCGCGCGAATTTACGATTTAAACGAAAAGAAACTGCAGGGTATTAGCAAATGGGGCAATTGAGCAATGCGATCGTTTAATAAAAACTAGCTTATGAAGCTAGCTTCTTGCAGAAAGTGTTCCCTTACCTCAATTTGACCTGTTAAATGTGGGAATAAATGTGTTGATACCTGTACTGGAGGGGGATTTGTTTTAAAACATTTAACAGATACGAAAAGTTTGTTTTAGCAGGAGCTTTCAAAGTTTATGTGTGAATCGTCTTCAGCTATGTGTTGATACCACTGTAAAAAAAATGTAACTTTACTCCTGTTGGTAAACCTCTTTCCATTTCAAGAAAATAGGAAAAAGTATGGAATTAAAGTACGATGTATCGATGTTTGATAAGTGATGAAACATAATTAAGAAATGTATGATACATGTCAGAACGATGCATTTGAACAAGCAAATTTATGTAATGGTAGCGTTTTGCAATTTTATCATAAGGAAAGCAAAATTTAAATTTTATTTTATTTTATTTTATTTTTCATATACATAGCTTTTTTAAAAATAAAATTTAAATTTTATTCCCATTACATTACAGTAAATATTATAATACCCTAATAAAATACGTAAATATCCAATAATAAACTTATTTATAGAACCAGTACAGCCTTGCTCTAACCAGAGGCCTCTCGCTTGCAGTAGCGCGCGAAACAAGCGCGTCACGCAGTACGCTTAGACACATGGCTATGTGAAAGTACAGCCCAAGATACCCGACTAACAAATAAAAAACTAACAGGTTTATGCGGTCCTTCGCGCGCACATATATAAGACACATACCAATTGCCATATCGATCTAACAATAATTTTACGTCATATTATAAACTCCACATCATCTTAAATGTTAAAATACAAAAAATAAATTTTACCAATTAAATAATATTAACACATAACAGTCAATTTGCAATATAACCGAAAATATTTTGATCGGAAATATATTTATATCACGTCGTGACCCTCGTTGTCGTTTCACTTTAGCGTTTCTAAGATACAGGGGTGCCGCGCACTCGTGCGCGGCGGGTCATACAACGTATGACAAAAATATATAAGGGAAATTTAAATTTATTTTTTGATTCTTTTTCTGCTAGTTGCAACTTTAACTTTGTAGCGCGATGCGTTACTGTGCCGCGCCGCGCACTCAATAAGGCTTCTCACAGCGACTGGCTAGATCGGCGAGATGCGCTACTGTGCCGCGCCGAGCTGCCATGAATTGACATCGTCAATTAACTTTAACTCCATTTTTAATGGATTAACCCAGGGCGCGTTACTTCGAAGCACTTTCACTCGATAATATTTCGCCTCGAAAAAAGCGCGCGTCGCTTTGAAAAATGTAAACTATTTAATTGAACATGTCAATCTTTCCAAATCGTTGCTTTGCAAATTAACAAAACAACGACCCCTTCGATGCGAAGTAAAAATTATAGTTTGCGTGGCGCATCGAAGCGGCGAAGTCCTCCAAGTAAACTATTTAATCATCCATCAAAGTTCAATTTAGACTATAAATCTATTCACTATTAATATTATGATATCATGATACAATTTTTTCATATTATTTTGTTTTGCCTTATTAGGGATTAGATTTTGCAGCTCATATTAATTTTAGAAAAAATAAAGTTTGTGCTTAAATAAAATTTAAAAGTTATTGTGAAAATTACATGACTTGTTTGGCAAGCTTAAGATGTACTTTTGAAATTATTTGGAAGTATTGACATTAAAAAGCATGCACTGGACAAAGGGAAAAAGATTTCTACGAAAAGAGATTACTTCAATCAGAGAGGGTCCTTTGTCCCACTAGTCTTAAAAACATCTGAAGGTATGGGACCACTCTGTGCTGTGTTCGTAGATCGTATCTCTGAGATGATATGATAGCTGACCACAATAAAGAAGCTAAGAGCCTGGTCAAAAATCACATCAGAACGTGATTCAGGTTTGATCTGCTACGAAGCACACTCATAGCACTAAGGGGAATCAGAGGAAGACACAAAGCCCAGCACCTTCGACTGGATGACCTATCTCATACCTCAGAAGATGAGCTATGAGGTCTTTCAAGTTTGTTTATGTAAATTTTATTTTTTTGCTGAAAAGTATAAGTGAATAAATTACATTCAATTTCAGCAATGGCCAATTGGCTGACTATAAGGTCATGGCCTGAACAAACAATTTTTTTAAATAGTCAAGTGATGCTAAAGCAGAGCACAAATGTGTAATAAGTTAATAGATTAAAAACTGATTCATGTGATGCATTACGCAGAGCACAGATAAAATTACTGATTCAATGATTAAAATTATAGCTGTGAGTGTCAATAAATTACTGTGTCATAAAAAAATGTATGTTATATAAATTTTATAGTTAATTTATTGTAGCTTTTATATCGTGTGAAATTTTACGGACGAAATGATCCCAGGAGGGGGGGGGGGGGGGGGGCAGTGCCCAGTGGTGTAACGAAAGGCCCCGCCGACCTCGTTGCGCGGGGCCGCGCAATTTTAGGGGATGCCAAATCGTGGTTTAAATGTGGGACCATTTCGAAAAACTTAACTACGGTACTAGCAAAACTGTGCGTTTTGCTCTAGAAACACTTTTTAGAGATTTTACCGGCGTATCCTCTAAAACCATCTAATTTGTTCACTTTTAGGAAGGAGCGCCAACAGGGGAGGGGGCGCCAACAGGGGGTGCTTTTTCAGCGGGGGGGGGGGGGGGGGGGGGTGCCAACAGGCAACATTATGCCACTGGGGGAGGGGGACTCCCAACCCACCGCTTCGGCGGGTCCGGTAGTTGATACACCTTTCACAAGCAAGAGCCAATTTGGTCTAGTAAAAAATAAATAAGTGAATAAGTAAGTAAGTACTTGCTGTGCGGTGTCTCAGCTACATGGGTATGGGGTCCCCCCTTTTGTATCATCACTATCCTAGAGCATCTAAATTTACTAGTAGAGAAATAAAAGCCTTGCTTGAGTATTTCAGTGAAACACAGTCTCCTCAACAACACTTGCTGACCAAGCTTCAAATTTGATAGTTTTGTTGTCCCCCTTTATTTGAGTTCAGTGCAATCCATACTCTGTGGACCAATAGCGAACATTGATTTAAACTGTAGATTTAATGGCAAATACTATTTTAATTGCTTCTACTCGCCCTTGATTAGAGGACAGCAGTCTTACACAAATAGAATATCTATACTAATAATCCCAAAATGTGTGTCTATCTGTGCGTGCACATGTAATTTCCGAACCGCTTAATCAAGAAAACGATAAGAGTTATGGGACTGGTTTTTTTTCGGTATATAGTCATTTACTCTCCCCATTTACAGCTCCCCTAATTACAGGTCTGGTATATATAATATAGTATTATATATGTGCTCAAAACGTACTTAATGCCAGCAAATGAACAAACAATGATATAACAAATTCTTGAAATACTAACAGTTGCCAACTTTAAGAACAATAGACTTCCATAAACCATCCCCTCCTGAAGATCAACCCTCTCAGCATAGAAGTTACCCTTTTTGATAATGTTGTCGATGATGTAAATTTTATATGGGATTTTCGTTAAAAATGTACTGTGTGTATCTTTGGGAACAGTATAACTATAATGATTAAAGTTTACTAAAAAAGATGGATTGTAATGTTCTCAGCAATAATTTAATTTTGATTTAACAGTTTTGGTGCTGAATATGCATCATGTAAATATTTATAAGTAATTCATGCATTGTTCACTTTAAATGCTACATCATTTCATTTCATTCCAAAATCATTAAACTATCAGATTCATTTTTCAAATGTTAAACTGTTTGTTTCCATCATAACATATTAAATAATCCGTGCACCACTCACCAGTGATATAACAAGGTTGTGAATTGTTTGAATTTTCTGTTTGAACAAGCAAGCATTTAAGGCAAGCATCAATAATTTTGCCAATTATGGCTCAATTGTGTTTTTTTGTGAATCATATTATTGTGTGAGATATTTGTGTAATAATCAATTTTCCTCTTAAGCAATTTCATGACGTCAAGCAAAGATGTTGAGGCATCATCTTCCCAACACAAATCTAAGAAGCAGAAAACTCAACGGCAAGGATACATCTATGATGGACAAAACCGAATAACGATGTGGCCAGAGGAACAGATAAGACACTTCATCTCAGTTTCGACCCGACATTTGATACTCAGTGTTCTAGAGCAGTACACCACAGACATGTCTAGAATAGAGAGCGAGTGGGATTATATAACCACCCACACACCAGACCATCTAAAATCAAAACTACCGAAACAACTGAAACTCTCTGTTAATGGATATCAGTACCTTACAAGAAAAATGACTCAAATTACATTGCATGAACCAAATATAAATACAAGAGAACAGTACGATTTTGCAAATGCCAGTTTCATTTACGATTCAAATCCCAAGCAACCAGTTTTTATAGCATCTCAGAGTCCAATGCCCTCAACGATAACACAATTCTGGAAAATGGTCTGGGAATGGAATGTTTCGACGATAGTTATGTTGTCTGTTGTCAGAGAAAAGGGAGATGTAAAAGGGTGCAGGTATGATAAAAAACAGTTGTATTTTTAGATTTATCAAATTTATGTTAAATTTTCAAGTTACATACTACTTACATCTCATACAGGAGCTACAGTTACTTTATATTGGCCCTAACAAACAGTGCCACTGTAAAGCTCAAAGGTACACTCTTAAGCGCTGTATAATACGGAGCTATGTTACCCAATCTGCTTCCTGTGTGCATGTCTCAATTTTATATTGTACAATGTACATTATCACAAAACAGGTTACAGGACCATAAACACAAAAAATGAATAAAATTTGAATACCTTAATCTGTGCATTATACACGAATGGTCCCAACAATCAACATATATTATTGTACATGCAGCTTTGATGAGTTGTTCTCTTGGCTCAATACAGCCAACCTTCTTCGAACTTTGTTATATTATTCAAAATTAAAAGTTACACAACTCTACAGTCTATTAATCCTGTGAGCTGCTATAAAGGATGTTTATTCCTTCACATTACTTCATTAGATAAACTCAAGCAACAAATTCTGTCGCCATAACATTATAATTACAGCATTATCATAGCTTAGAAATTACTCAGTATTTGTTGAATATGTACATATAATATTGGGAATACTTGGACCCTTCTTCCATGCGGCTATTAAACAATCACCCAAACATTCAACTTGGTTACTCAGCATTACACCACTCAGGTATTGGCCTAAAGAAGGGATCGTGTCCTATGGACAGTTTGAGATTTGTGTAGTATCAAAACATGCTGTCTGCCCACACTATTTGGTGAGGAGTTTTTACATCAAGGACCGTATATCAGGAAGCAGTAGGACGCTAACTCAGTTCCAGTATAAGAGCTGGAATGATGTTACTGATAATACTCCAGCCAATCTTTCTTCTTTCCTGGAATTCAGACGAAAGGTTAGGAATTAAAATGCCATTTTATATTATAATGTATAATATGCTATGGTCTAGATATATTGCATTCAGTTTATCGATAGTAATTCTTCTTTTAATTTTCGATTAAGTGCAATAAGTAATTTTGAACAAATATATTCAATTTTTGATACATTTATCACGAGCTGTTTTATTAACTATGGAGTTATTCGTGATTTCATCATAATATCCCAATAAGATGTGAGCTATTTTGCTCTACCCTAAGTCAATTGTAGTTTTAACTGATGACGTGTCTCAGATTCAGAGGAGCAACATATCATGTAAGACGCCCACTGTAGTGCATTGTAGGGACGGGCTGGGAAGAACTGGCACCTTCATCTTGCTGGAACTAGCTCTTAGGAAGCTTGCAAGAGATGGGGATAAAATAAAGGTATTATCATGAATCTTATCTTGAAGTCAATCTTTTACCGCCTTCATGATATAATTTTGATATCAAGGCCTCGTTTCCAAGATGTAAATCGGACGGCCCGGTGGTTAAAATATAAAAAGTTACTAGGAATCTGTTTTAGACGGGAAAAGTGGCTATACATTTTCGGCCGCTCTATATAATGCGCTCGATTTGAACGTCTTGAGAACCCCGAGAGCGACTTATTTTAATTTAATTTGAATGTTTTTTTGTTGAAAAAAATCAGTCAATGGCTATGGAAATATTATGACTAGGATTTAAATTCTTAAATTCCTCACTTTTATCCACTGGGTCAGACGGTACATCTTGCTACAGTTCGAATAATTCGTAATTCAGCCGCTGATATTTCTTGGATTGCTGCTCCCTCGTTACGATGAATTTCTTCTGGAGGTGGTAGTAATTATTTGTAGTCTTAAATATTGATTTATGAATAGGTAAGTTTATTTAGAAAAAGCCGATCAATTCTTGACCAGAATTTTTGGAATTAATTTTAGATTAGCCCCCATTTACTGCTAACTCAAGTGATTAGTTGACGATAAGATGTAGCTATAATTTCACAACATTAAGATGCCAATAATTCTAAACAGATTACATCAAAACTACCTAGTTGTATGTCTGGTGGTTGGGGAGGAGTAAACCAAGATCGATAGGATAATGATATCCGGGACATCATCGTTACGACTCTAGAACGAAGGAAAGCTCTGAAGCTTTCCACTGTAATACAGTATATGAAAAAGTTCGTCATTATATGCCCATAGAAGCAAGAATAACTTGCTCGGTATAGTTTCAACTTGAATGGTATATCTTTTGCCTTCGGAGCCACAATGTATGATGCGTAGAAAATGTAGATTTGCATGGGTACAAATGCGATAAGGCACATGCCTGCAGTGAGGATGACAGTCAAAATACCATGCCATGGAATTACTGCTCCAGTTCGACTTGCAATTCTCACAACTTTAAACAACTGATAAACTAACAAAACTGTTGTAATAAAAATTAAAATCGTTGGAAAGCTGGCATTGACCAGCATAGATGTGATGAACAGCCACGATTCTACATTTGATGACGGTTGGAAGGAAAAGTCACACATGTATCCTCTGTAGTCGAATATGATTCCCTCACCCTTTATGTCCAATATTAGATGCAGGATAGAGAAGTTCAAAGCATAAATCCAAATGAATCGAATGAACTTTTTATGGGCACCTTCCCTATAAAAGATACGTGCTCTGATAGGAAACTTAAGTATGAGCAGTCTGCTTGTTGTCAAGGTCATAACCAACAATATGCTAACTACTGTAGCGTAAGAGAAAGTACTGGCGGAGAGGATGCAGGAGATCCTTCCAAATGCCCATTTATTGGTGATCAATGAAGCAGAATGTGGCAACAGCCACGAAATCGTTATCAAGAGGTCGTTAAGGGCGATTTGTTGAATCAAGGTAACAATGATATTGTGCAGTCTGAATGCCTTGTACCTGGCAGAACCAATGAGGATCATGCAGTCACCACTGATAGATGCGGAAGCTATAAAAATAGTCCATCCAATCCAAAGGTATCTTTCGATCTTGTCTTTTACACCAAAGATCGTAATGTTTGAAAAGTTGGTAAGGTTTGCTGCGAAATCCAAATTTCGTTAATTTATCTAGGGTATCTGTTTGTTAGCCAGGGTACGATTGGGACATTAAATACTTTCCCAAGTTTTTATTATTTAAAAAAGTTATTATTTGTTGCTTAAATAACAACTGTTCACGTCTGACGAGCAAAATTTGCGATCCTAAACATTTCACAAATGTAATTACCCAAATTCAGTAGAAATTGCTGTAAACCAACGGTGAAATATTATACAGATTATCGTCAAGAATCTTGACTCAAGATAATCTTGACTCAAGATAATCTTGACTCAAGATAATCTTGACTCAAGATGCACAATTCTGCTATAGCTGTAATTCTATAATATGAAAACCATGACTAACTCGTCAATCGGCAATGAAAAATGGAACATCAAAATGCAGACTTCGACTGCATATGCTTTGTCTGGTCTCATTTTTAAATATCCGGCAACATGAGTTAAAGGGATCTTATTTAAATATAATGGTAAGCTCTCAAGTGGTCTAATAGGTGGGAAGAAAAACTACGGTTCAACGTTATTGACAACAAGAATTGCGCCTGTTAGCGGACGCTAGATTTCCATCAACCGTACTCTTACGCATTGCGAGAGAACCCTGAAGGAAAGCGGTTGACATTAAACACTGCTGTATAGTGCATACTTGTACAAGATTCCTACACAAAAGTAGCACCACTGCAACTGAGCGATAAGTAGTGAGGTCGATCAGGATTGGGGAAACTTTCAGAGGAATGGGTTCCTGAATGGCAATCCAGATTACTGCTGTTCTATTCCAAGAAGAATTGGTCAGAAGCAGCAGTACATTGCGAGCGTGTGCGTGGCCATATTGTTCCTGAATCTACTGAGACAGTGATTCCAGTAAATACAAGCTATTTAAAAATATTTGCTTTATTTTCATATCTGATATTAATTTAGCTCTACCAACATATTTTCCAATTCCATGTAAAATCTGAACGGCCTTTTGAGTGAGTTCTTAAAGTCATTTTGAATTGTTAATTAAGACAATTCCTAAAATGATCCTTGTAAAAAACTGAAATGTTTTAGTAGAAAAACATTACTCGCAAATTAATGCTAAACGACGGTAATTCTGAGAACAATCCAACCATATAAAAGAGGTCATATAGAGGTGGTTCACATATTATTTGTTATGACGTAATCCATTCCTGAGCACTTTACACCACTCCCGCTCTGTGCACCATTTTACATATAATATATCCATTGTGTAAAATTACACTAGCGGAAGTTTTTCCGGACTCCTTGGCTTACGTAATATACAATGAACGATGCCACACCAATATAAACTTAACAGATAAATGTACGATCTTGGAAGTAGTTTTGGATGTCGAATACATACAAGGGATTGTACAATTCCACCATAATACACACTAGACAGACTGGGGTCCAAACTATAATAATTACATAAAACTAATTACAACACTACAAATCTATTACATTTATTGAGAATTATGTAATGTAACGTGATGGAAATATTTTAAACGGGCATATCCTTTTCAAACCCACTACCCAGGATGCACTACATGAAGAATTCGTTGTAACTTCGTTTGAAAAGCATTAATAAGACTAAGTTGGGTAAGTTACTAGTTATTCAGTCTTTGTATTTGTAGTAGCCCTTTAAGAAAGTTGTCTTGAATCCATTTAAAGTTTCTGGTAAATTCTTTCATTTTCTGAGTTGTGTAGGTAATGATGGCGTGGAATAATGTTATAGCCACTACCCACCTGTTCGTGGTAATACATTTCACGAGGGGTGTGTAAATTCATAGTGTAGAAAGCGCAAGAAGTATGGCCATTGTATTTTAATCTCCACTTGGCAGAGAAATGATGGTGATCAAATTTATATCTCATCAGACCAAACGTAATGTTGAAGTGTACTCAAGGATCTGTGGCTAGTACAGGTTGCCATGATATTAATTATAGTTAAACGTTGAAAGTTAGGATATATTTCTTACATTTCATCTGATCTGCACGTGCGACTTTTTGCCTGGTTTCATCATTGTTAGAGGTCACGTTTGTCTTTGTTAGAGGTCACATTTGTTGAGATATATCCAAAACATTTATAAATCGAAAATTGCTCTATTTGAGGCTATCTTTGTTCAGTAGGGCGCGAAACATATTTATTCATAACAGTCGGACATATGCGCGCATTGTAGATCCGTTTAATTAATAATAATAATAATAATAAAATGTAAGAACGAAATTAAATTCGTCGCGTCAAGCGAGAATATTTAGGTGTTCAAGCAATTATCTTCGTATCGATCATGTAAACTTCTGCCAGTGCAACTATCACAAAAATTAGTGGCATTGAAGCCTGTGATAAAAGGATTTTCTTTTTTATTGGAATAATCAATACGACCGCTTTGAAATACTGCACCCGAAAGTAAACTCCTTTTGAGGCGAAATGATAAGGAATTCTCAAACGGCTGGCTTGGCAAATGTGAATGATCCCTTATTGCTTCTGATCTATGTATCGATTGATATCAATATAATTTATAAAAGTTAAGTGACGCAGAATGTTTCAGGAACTTGACCCCTGTGCTCTGTTGGAGTTCCTGCGAGATCAGCGGCCCGGGCTAGTCAGCAACAAACAGCAGTATCAATTCTTTGTGGGTGCCTTTTGCGAAGAGGTCAGCAGTTTACTGTTAACTTACCAACATACCAATATCTTCAATTTATTCTGTTGATTACGTTATCAAAATTTTAATTTTTATCCTCTAAAATAATACCAGTTTGATAATTTTGTAATTCAAATAGCACTCAATTTCACTCTTACAGTCATACAATGATCAGATATCCGGCTGAATTCGGTTCTGGCTGGATATCCGGTTCCGGTATAGAACGTGATACTACATAGGGTACATATTTACGGATGATATCCGTAAATCTTTGTTTCAAATACTGACTCGTCGTTTTTGCTTTGCTGAGCAGTCTACTATGAGCGACATCTTAACAGAAGTAACAAGTAAAGAAAAAGTTGTTCGCATGGCCGTTATCAAGGTCATTAACGAAGAAAATTTACGACAGAAGCTGAAGCTCATCCTATGCTTAGATACACTTCAGAGGAGGAGAGAGCGTTATTCCATTATCCATGTATGGAAGATTGAACATGCTCCGAACGATACGGGCTTCGAGTTCGAGTCACATCAAAGGCTTGGTATTAAGGCAGAGATCCCAGCCATGAACAAAAGCGCACAGCTGTCTGTGCTGTAAGAACAGATTACGACAACAGCTTTAGAGTTAGAGCAGCTCAGCTCTTCAACGTGCTCCCATCAGAGCTCCGGAGTATCACAGTGCTAGACAGTTTCAAAGTTGGTCTAGGCAGATTTATGGAACAGTACCAAGACACACCACCGGTTCCGGGATACAGTCCGACAAACGATAACTCAATGCTGAGCTGGAGGAGGACGCACTCGGTGCAGTTGTCCTGAGAACACCCTGCCAAACTCACCAAAACGTACCAAAAACGTACGAGATCTTGAAAAAGTCAGCGAGCGGCGAAAAAGAGTCGAAAATCATTTTGCAACCCATAAAATTTGCTATGCGTGTGATATCGGAGATCAAAGTGTCTGATCGAAAGAAAACCTGGTCTTTTATGGAGTCACCGGACATTTTGATAAAGCATCCAATCAATTGAACTACCACGAAGAAATATACTGACAACTCTTGGGTTTCCCGACATGTGCGAAAACCGGTGGGCGATTGGGGTCCGGGGCCCCTCGAAAGTTTGGTCATGGTTAAATAATATCCCTGACAGTTTACCTGGTTTGAACGTCTATCAAACTAGGTAGGGGCTATCTACTTAGGAGTTCCGGCATATAAGAAGGGGAGGGGGTGGTATATTATGTGACACCATGTGAGGCATGTGACCACTATATTATGTGACAGTATTTGACCACTAGTTACTAACAGTTCCGTTTTTGCAGGTTCATGCTATGATGACAGTAGCTGAGGAAAGCGGTAACCATGGCAACCAACTACTTCTGAAACTTCAACAACAGCTTCTAACATGAAAAGCTGCCCACTACACAAAAGAAATCTCCGATCTGGATATAGCAGCCTGGGGCAAGTTTACATTATGTTAACGGACAGGCGTCTGAGGTATGCTAACAACAACAAAAACTTCACAGAACGGGACTCTTTCTTTGTTGGAGATTCAGATGACAAGTTCAGGGAATTGACATATATTTGCTATTATTGAACAATTTATTTCATTATTTGCCCCTCTTAAATCTTAATCTTGTGAATTGTTTTGATTTTTATTTAAGGGTAGGGAACTTTAAACTAAGTAGCTATTGGTGCTATTATCTGTAGCTAATCCCAACACATACTCACATTTACATATAATTATAATACAAATCTCATTTCACTCCACCTAGAATTTCTGTACACTTTGTACTTGTAAAGTAATATGTAAATTAAGATTAAAACTGGCATGTTTTAAATGTTAATAGACTTAATTGTAATGTTTGACAAGGACTGTTCATTATTTGGAAACTTATTGATACGTTTTTGAGATATTTAGAGAGATAATTGGGATGAATTGAGAAGATTAGCGATCGACGCTAGGGGACTAGATCAAAGGCAGTAGTTTTTACTTTTAAGGACAGATTTGGCTCATTGCCCATTGCCTGTTTATCACTTTAATATGTAGGTACAGGCAAGGTTTCCCTATACAGATCCTAAGGACTAACGCTTCGTTAGATTTAGTAACTTGGATACTAATTTGAAGTGAAAGTTTTCCAAAATGTCTGACAGTGGCAGATAAAACACATCTTCCCCTTCTTTTATTGAGAGATATCATCACCTTCAAAACTTTTAACATTTATTGTGTATAATAGGAAAATTAGTGTTCGTTTATTTGAATAGGATTTGATGACACATAATGACTACGCAGTTTGTAGTCCAAAGATGTCCCTTTAACTCCCGTCCTCAAAATGTGGTCCAGATCGCCTGGTGCGACTCTAAGAATTTGTAACTTGTAGCGACCATTTTATTTTGTATTTGAGCGTAAAGTAATTCCAATCTAATTTAATATGGGTCATACATCCGGATCCCGATGGCACTGTCGCGACATTCTCGTGGCACTCTCGAGGCACTCTGGCGGCACTCTGGCGTGTTCGTTCAAAAGCATACGCAATAAGACAATCATTATACCTTCATTATTATCTTTTCACAATAGCCACGGTGTCATGAAAGCATTTACTAGCCTTGTCGAAGCCTTGTGATTTACAATCCTGATCTGGTGACATGTCATATGCTATCAGCTTATGGGCGTTGCGATAACATTCCTGCAGGTATCACATAGCAATAAGAAGTCCCACGTGCAATGTTCAGTTGTTTTAGAATCTGGATTGGTATGACGTAGGTATCGACTTGACGTGACTCACTCGTGAGGACACTCGTGTGTCATGCTAATTCTACGTTGTACCTTGCTACCATGTCACAGAATATGGCATATAAGACGAGCTCCATAGGGAAATAGCATTAGTGATGGTTCACACTTCCCGATCATTCAAGTACGCCTGCTACGACCTTCTGTTTTCAACAGAAGGTCTTGTCTTGAATGACTGTCTTATGCTTTTGAACGAACATGATTGAAAGTTGGCAATGTGCCGCGAGACTGCCATCGGAGTCCGGATGTTAATGACCGTAATATATATATATATTATATATATATATTTCATTGCTGAACTTCTACACAATAAAAAAAGCGGTTTTGACGGTTGATATATATGTACTACGACTTAATCATATTTTGCAACTGTGATGACGATATTCGACTATTTAATAATACAGTAATATACTGTCTATTCAATGGTAACGAATTGACCATTTTTACACTTAGTAGTACATATTATAATATAACTAAATTGATTTATTGTGTTGTATATTGAATTTAATTTTGATTCTTCAATCTCAATCATGAGTTTGTTATTGACAGTGAAATATTATCAATTATGCTGTTCCGGTATGGGAGCGTTCACATATTACGTCAGCAGTTACGTAAATCCTATCCAACAATCTGAACACTGCATATCTCTACTATAATTCAAAAGATTCTTTCTGTAGAATGTATGTATGTACGACCGCCCACGTGCAAATTTGATGAAAAATAGGAATTTAGGTAACAACCAAAAGGTTTCATAGCAACGGTGTTTTAATGCACACATGCACGTGCAGAGATTGTTTGAACGTCATTTTGATCGGTTTTGTGGTAATTAAGTTGATTTTAAAGTATTTTATATTTAAATCGGCTGTATCTTCGGTTGGGATCGGATGGATATTTTTTGATGCGATTAAACCTTTCTTTCAAAGAATACTACTAGCTTCGTCCCGGGCTTTCTAGTCTCTACTATAATTCAAAAGATTCTTTCTGTAGAATGTCTGTATGTACGACCGCCCACGTGCAAATTATGTAAACAAATCCAATTACATCAAACGTTGGCATGGTACATACATTTTAATGTGATCGCACGTGCAGAATTTGCGTGTGAATGATTGAATTCTAAGACGCGCTAAAACTCTGCTAAATTATAAAACTCTTCCTGGTCCGCGCGCCGACCGTTTTGTGGAAATTACGTTGTGTTTAAATTGTTTACATTCAAATCGGCTGTATCTTCTGTTGGGATGAATATTTCTGTATGTGTAATTTATTTCAAACAATGCTACTAGCTTCCTCCCTGTTACCACGGGCTTTCTAGTCTCTACTATAATTCAGAGAATTCTTTCTGTCTGTACACTGTACGACCGCCCACGTGCAAATAGATTAGAAATAGGAAGTTGCGTAGTTACCATGGTAACGAGGATTGTTACACGCACGTGCACGTGCAATGATTGTTTTAACGTCATTTTGATCGTTTTTTGATATTACACCGTGTTTAGTACGAGCAACATAGGATATTTTTTGCGACGCGATTTAAACTTATATATTTATACTAACAAAAAATACTATCAATATTAGCTTCCTCCCTATGACCACGGGTTTTCTAGTAATAAGATAAATTTGAATAGTAATAAGTATCCATAAGTAATAAAATGATCAAACTAAATTAGACCTGAAATTTTTAAACGACCCCTCCGATCCCCCCTGGATAAGGGGTCGTTCGCATATCATGTAATCAGCCGAGGGGGTTTCCAAATAAAATTATTAATTTTGACACAGTAGCTGTGTTACTGTTAGCCTATGTGTTAACCTGATTACGGAGGGGGGGGTCCAGAGGTGATCATGTATCCTGGATGGAGACTCAGAACTCATACTGACTAGGACTGAATTTTGTTACAACAGATTTGTAATTTTAAGATCTTATTTAAACGTCTAATTTGGTGGTCTTTCAACGCTCCCTCAGCTCCAATAATTTAGAATTCAGTACCTTGATCACGTCTTCTGGCCCTCCATATTTAAATCACTTAAATTTGTCACCAGAGATGATTATCGGCCGTGGAAAGCTGGATGACATGACATTTAATTGGCCGGGGCTAGCGCTTGCAGCCCAGTACAATATAGCCGGCCTAGCTAGCCGCGCGTGGAGCTAGCTATATAATATATTGACATACGTTGCATGCCACTTTTCGCGCGCGCCGCCGAAGGCGAAACATGTATCAAATAATATATGATATATAGCTAGCTTGATTTGACCAAACTAATTTGACCAAACTAACCCTAACCCTAACCTTTCATATATTAATTACGTTAATTACATGCATAGCTAGCTAGCCGCTAGCTGAGCTAGCGCGCGCAGCGACAAATTTGGCGCGTTCTCTCTTGGTAAAACATTGCGCCTGACAAACACTCACTTATTAATGTGCTCCTGGCCGACTTTTCACATGTGAGCGGGGTTTTCTAACTTATAAATACCTTGTCAGGAAGTTTTTCAGAATCAACTTGTAGTAGTTAATTCCTAATTATGATTTCTTTAAAAAGACTGCAAATATTCTATCTCTTACTCTCTGAAGCCAACGACTAACAAGTTGCCTGAGTACTCAAAAGGCTAGACATATCTCATCGACCCTAATTTTACAAAGACCAAGGCTTTTTATGGCAAAAAACAAAATCCTCCAAGAGGGTATGTTTGTAGTGATGAATTGTCAAGACACGCTGAGTTTGCTTCATAACCCCTCTCTTTCAGCTATTACGATACAGTTTTCCATCTCTGAAGCTCTGATGAAAGATCGTCCGCAAGATAATCGAAACTCCCCACTGTATTGTACTTACTCCCCACTGTATTGTACTAACTCTCCACTGTATTGTATTAACTCCCCACTGTATTGTACTAACTATCCACTGTATTGTACTAACTCCCCAGTGCTGTATTGTACTAACTCCCCAGTGCTGTATTGTACTAACTCCCCACTGCATTGTACTAACTCCCCACTGTATTGTACTAACTATCCACTGTATTGTACTAACTCCCCAGTGCTGTATTGTACTAACTCCCCAGTGCTGTATTGTACTAACTCCCCACTGCATTGTACTAACTCCCCACTGTATTGTACTAACTCCCCACTGCATTGTACTAACTCCCCACTGCATTGTACTAACTCCCCACTGTATTGTACTAACTCCCCACTGTATTGTATTAACTCCCCACTGTATTGTACTAACTCCCCACTGTATTGTATTAACTCCCCACTGTATTGTACTAACTCCCCACTGTATTGTACTAACTCCCCACTGTATTGTACTAACTCCCCACTGTATTGTACTAACTCCCCACTGTATTGTACTAACTCCTCACTGTATTGTACTAACTCCCCACTGTATTGTACTAACTCCCCACTGTATTGTACTAACTCTCCACTGTATTGTACTAACTCCCCACTGTATTGTACTTACTCCCCACTGTATTGTACTAACTCCCCACTGTATTGTACTAACTCCCCACTGTATTGTACTAACTCCCCACTGTATTGTACTTACTCTCCACTGTATTGTATTAACTCCCCACTGTATTGTACTAACTCCCCACTGCATTGTACTTACTCCCCACTGTATTGTACTAACTCCCCACTGTATTGTACTTACTCCCCACTGTATTGTACTTACTCCCCACTGTATTGTACTAACTCCCCACTGTATTGTATTAACTCCCCACTGTATTGTACTTACTCCCCACTGTATTGTACTAACTCCCCACTGTATTGTATTAACTCCCCACTGTATTGTACTAACTCCCCACTGTATTGTACTAACTCCCCACTGTATTGTACTAACTCCCCACTGTATTGTACTAACTCCTCGCTGTATTGTACTAACTCCCCACTGTATTGCACTAACTCCCCACTGTATTGTACTAACTCTCCACTGTATTGTACTAACTCCCCACTGTATTGTATTAACTCCCCACTGTATTGTATTAACTCCCCACTGTATTGTACTAACTCCCCACTGTATTGTATTAACTCCCCACTGTATTGTACTAACTCCCCACTGTATTGTACTAACTTCCAACTGTATTGTACTTACTCCCCACTGTATTGTTCTAACTCCCCACTGTATTGTACTAACTCCCCACTGTATTGTACTAACTCCCCACTGTATTGTACTTACTCTCCACTGTATTGTATTAACTCCCCACTGTATTGTACTAACTCCCCACTGCATTGTACTAACTCCCCACTGTATTGTACTTACTCCCCACTGTATTGTACTTACTCCCCACTGTATTGTACTAACTCCCCACTGTATTGTACTTACTCCCCACTGTATTGTACTAACTCCCCACTGTATTGTACTAACTCCCCACTGTATTGTACTAACTCCCCACTGTATTGTACTAACTCCCCACTGTATTGTACTAACTCCCCACTGTATTGTACTAACTCCCCACTGTATTGTACTAACTCCCCACTGTATTGTACTAACTCCCCACTGTATTGTACTTACTCCCCACTGTATTGCACTAACTCCCCACTGTATTGTACTTACTCCCCACTGTATTGTACTTACTCCCCACTGTATTGTACTAACTCCCCACTGTATTGTACTAACTCCCCACTGTATTGTACTAACTCCCCACTGCATTGTACTAACTTCCCACTGTATTGTACTTACTCCCCACTGTATTGTACTTACTCCCCACTGTATTATACTAACTCCGCACTGTATTGCACTAACTCTCCACTGTATTAAGATTATTCTAACAGTCAAATTTCAAGCTCCGTCCGTGAATCTGATATGTTGATTGTTCTAGACTCTAAAGCCAACAGGCGTTGGTATCCGCTGAATGACTCAATACAAGCACTCGTGTGTCCAATAGCTTGGTCTCCAGTTAATTTCCGAAAATTTGTGATATTATGATTGCATGTTATAATAAAGTTAGGATCTTCAGTCCGGTGAGAACCTTTCATTTAGGTGATTAATATAGGACAACAAAAGAGGGTATCAAGATTGTTATAAAACCATGAGATAAGCTGTGCTTATAATCATGGTAAGCTGTCGAAGATTTTTTTTCATTTCTGAATTACGTGCCATATGGAGGAATATCAGTATTCTGGTCACATGAGAGCGTACTAGTGTCTGGTATATTGTAAAGGTCTACTAGCTGTGAGTTAAGCTAATACTGGCTCGCCAGGGGAGAACATTACTTCAATTTAATCAGAGATGTAAGTCAGCAGTACAGCTGATATACAGATTATACACTTAGTCGAGCCAATTAATTTTATTACCCGGTGTCAAGGACAAGTACCTTGTCACCTCCGGCATGTTACCAAGGTTAGAACCGACATGTTACCAAGGTTATTGGTTATGCGGAGGATTGGTCATTAGACGGTATTAGACTGTCATTTCATAAACATCTGACACGATCATCACGCACCACATGTAATTATAGATATCTCTGATTGTCGTGGCAAATATGGAGTCTGTACTTGAACAATTTAAAGGAAAACCAAAGGTACGATTTATGAATTCCTTGTAATTTCCCCCTACATCGAAGATTAAAACGGTGACTCAGAAGAATTTGTGAATTAATGAGGTCTTCTGTTCACAATAATACCAGATATTCGATTGCCTTCGTAACCCCCCCCCCCCCACCTTCATAACACCCCCTCCTAACCCTCCCCCTAGGATTACCATTAACCTCCTATGAGTCCTATCACTACGATCCTTTAGAGATCTGAACACAATCTATAGCTGTAAGATCTGTAAGACAGCATCTGTTGTTGTGTAATGACATGATGGATGTTGCCATAGCAACCGATATACAGAATAATAATAATACAGCAACAAGCAGATAGCAATTAACTAATTGTTTTGCTTATACGTTCTATTAGTTAATGTAAACATGTTTCAGGACCAGCCAATGACAGCCCAGGAGCTCAGGTCCGTTCATTAGACAGGTGTCATATATGTCATGTAGCTGAGCATGGCGAATCCTAAATGCCTACCTAATTCTCATGAGGAATTTTAAGTACTTGGTGATAAAGAAATTATACAACACTTCTCTCTGATTTTTAATGCTTATCAATATTTGGGATGTCACTGTGTCACATTTGTCATTTTAACATAGAGAATAGAATAAATATCCAATCACATATGCCAAGAAAGTAGGGATCCCAGACTTACGAGATGGAATAAGTGCCGTACTAGTAAAGCACTAGTATTGCAAAACTAATTGTTAAAAAAAAAAGAAGGTACATCGGCAACAAAACTTACACCTTAAAAGATGATGTCTTTAAACAACAAGTCATTCAGATCACCCTGAACAACACCTGATTATTGTCTGGCAATAGTATAAGATTAGAGTCAGCCCCATTCAGCAATGGGGTTAGCGTGTATCGTGGCTCGTCTGATCTTGATATCAGTGATGGGTTTGAGTTTCTCATCCACTGGTACTTTTTCCAGGTCGTCCAGCACTTCCAGCCCACTTATCACGTGCCCAAACACTGTAAACTTCCCGTCTAGATTCACCTGAACAAGTGGTTATTGGTTGATTGAGGTATAACTTAGAGTGCTCATAGTCAAGCGTTCTCAGACGATTCAATCAAAATTTGTAAATGTCGCGCTCACAAAAAAGTAGTCATGATTTGGTTTCGGAGAATAAGTAAGCTAACTGGATGGTAGCTGTACAATAAACAACAGAATAACCTGTTCGGCATAAGTGAAGAAGAACTGAGAAGAGTTCTTGTTAGGACCACTATTAGCCATGCTGACCATACCCCGCTTAGAGTGCTTTATACCTTCGTGTATCTCGTCTGGAAAGTACCTCGACTCCCAACAACTCTTTCCTCCCTTCCCAGTACCAGTCGGATCTCCTGTCTGAACATTGCAGATTTGTGATTCAACTTAAATTCAATCTGAATCTGTATAAAGTATAAATTCAATCTGTATAAAACAACGTGAATTAAATTAATCTCGATCTGTAGACTGTATCTAAGTCTGTTTGAAATGTTTGTTGTTATATTATAAAGTAGTTTTAATAGAAAGACGTCTAGTTTTGTTTCGCACGTGGATGCGATATTATAATTGGGAATTTGATCAATGCTACAGCCTGATTGGTCAATGCTGCAGCCTGATTGGTCAATGCTGCAGCCTGATTGGTCAATGCTGCAGTCTGATTGGTCAATGCTGCAGCCTGATTGATCAATGCTGCAGCCTGATTGGTCAAAGCTGCGGCCTAATTGGTCAATGCTGCAGCCTGATCGGTCAATGCTGAAGCCTGATTGGTCAATGCTGCAGCCTGCAAGATGATAAATTAATCACAGCCACGTGCCAACAAAATTGCAACATGGGTTGCAAACATAACCCATATTTCTGAATTAAGAATTCATCACAAAATATTCTGATGAAATTAACCTAAGATCGATTCTCCCCCATCCCAACCACCTTAAGCACAATTGAATCTTAATATATTATTAATTACTACATAATTAAAATTACTCATTATTACCTGTGCAAGAAAGCCTCTGATGTTCCTAGTGAATATGCAATCATTGTAGTAATCACTCGCGCAAAGAGCTAGGAAATTGTAACAAGTCTTGGGACATTCCTCGCAGAATAGTTCTAACTTTACATCCCCCACATCAGTGTGCAGAGTTACCGACATCCCTTTAATTATACATGGTTTGTTATCAGTCACATAGTTTAATAGTTTTTATTAAACTAGGGATTTATACGATATTTATAGATGAGAATGTATGTTGACTTTCAGTTAACAACACAATTGTTTGATCAGCAGGCCCCTGGCCCTGTTAGCGAGGTTGTCATATTCTCTCTAAATAGACTGAAATATAAGTTTAGCCATGAAATTTCAGGGCATTGTGCTTGGTATTGAGGTAAACTCAATGAGCTATTTAAAGCTAACAATTCTTATAATGAAGATGAACTTCATCCATCAGAACCTTTACAATGTGGTAATTAATCAGCAAGTAAGGTGAATCCAATACAATTTAGTTATTGCCTCATCTTAACAGTAGGAGTGATTACCTACTAGCGCATCTTGACGTTACCATGACAACAGTGTAATGCACTATCTCAGCTTGATCTTATAAGAGTGTTGTACATGACAGCTGATGTTTCCAAGGATACAGCTGAGAGAGGCATCTAGCTAGCGATGCTTATCGAAAGGAACGCAACTTGCATTTTTGTAGTGGGGGTCTAAGTGTGAAGTATGTGGTATGTAGTTCAGATTATTTGATGGATTGTACTTCTACTAGTATATTATAGCTGTCTCACTCACAATGAAACTAACGCTGATAAATGTGAACATTTGTAATGAAATAATTTATATAAATGAAATTATATATTATTAAGTTACATTGAATTATTATTTAGAATAACTTTACTAAATTTGTAAGACCCCAAAATCACTAAAATGTCTCCTTAGTCCTTCTATGCGCTTTCAAACAATACCAAAATAAAAAATAACTTCAGTAATAACATCGGTAAAAGAGTTTGTAGATTAAGAATATTGAAGTCAGTTCAGAATGGGAAAAGCTCTTATTATCGGAAGCCACGTAAGTTATCAGCTTTAAAACTTGCACTCGGATCTCCGAACAGCATGTATAAATCTAAACATCACTAAAAAGTCCAGTAACCGGATGTCACGTGACCTCCTCCATCATATGATCTCCCTCGTCGTCACTACTCGAGCTCATTTCCTCCTTCACTGGCAGAAGCTCTGCTTTTTCTTGAGATTCCAGCTCGGATACTTGATTAAGGGGCTGCTGCTGTTTCCACTGTTTGGCTTGCAGCGCCTGGCGTTCTGCTAAAACTCCTTCACTTAGCACTGGCATGAGGCCAGCACTTAACTTCCCCAGCTCCCCAGCTCGCATATCTGACATACAGTAAGATTTAAATGAAAATAATTTTCTGAGAAAACAGAGCATCAAAATATACTCTAAATATCGTCGGCTTAGAACAGCTTTTAAGTTATCGAAAGTCATCCTGGATTGAAAGTCATCCTGAAAAATCTACTTTACAATCAATTGGCATGGGTAATGTATGAAGGTGTCATAATCGCTACTTCGCTGCGAAGACAAAAAACAAACTCGCCCACTTACCCAGATCAGTAGGCCATGGTCTCCTGTAGTCCAGCTCACTCCAGTTGGCTGGCATCTGATTACTATAAGAGCTGCTGATCAGATGAGCGTACGACAACAAGTCTCTGACCGTGCATTGTCGCTCTTTTACTGCTTCAGTTTGTTCCGTTTTCTCGTTAGCTGAAGCTACCACCATCTCCAGAACTTGTTGACTTTGTCGAAGTTGTTGTTGAAGTTTGTTTACCTCGCTCTCCAGTCTGTGGTATTCTTGTTTCTCTGCTGCTATTTTTCTCTGTATCTCTTCTTGCTCCTCTGCCTCCTGTTGTAAGCATTGTTAGTATGCAGGTATCACAACTCATAATCAAGAATGGCTCGCACAAATTAACTTAACTTAATAAGAAATAGTTTTATAACAATCTTAGAATTACCACAATACAAATAATGCAGGAAAACTACCTCGATGATCTCATTTATAAGGTTCTGTTTCTCAATTATTTGAGCGGTGATAGCCTCGGTGGAGGGCTGACCAGGTTGGGGGTTGTTGGTAGTTTGGTTGTGTACTGACTGTATTAGCACCATAACCAAGCGCTGAAGCTCTGTAAGAGACATTATCAACTTGTCTCGTGTACTTCGCATGATTACCTAATAAATACAACAATTGGCAAAAACTTATTAGATTTTAATTAATATTATATTGGTTACCAGCTACATGAATAATATATTAGAAATTAAGTCAATCAATAAGGTACTTGTTCGGCAAGCATTAACAACAAGAATTTAATGAAGTACGAATACCAATAAATAATTATCAACATTAACATTTAATATTTAAAGATTCTATTAACATAAAAATATTTAATATCAACAATTAGTATAAATAAACATAAGATTTGATTTCTGCAAACACAAAAAGTGACTGAAAGAAATCACAATAAACAATAAACATGATAACACAATATCAGATTGAATGAATAAATAAATTAACGAAATTTTCATACTAACATTACAAAACAAATAAGATAATAGGAATAGAGATTCCAAACAAACAAATAAACACAGAAATAACAGCAAAAGATACTTTAAGAGTCTTGAAATAACCTTCAAGTTTAACTGGGTAATAAATATACAGAAACTCAGAGAAGACGAATCCCACCACAATAATAAGAAACATATAACATGCAATGTATATCATAGTTCCTCCGGGTAGGCCTGTCAACTGGGCCAGCCCTGTGAAACAGCAGCTGAAGGAAAGAAGAAATATCGACATTGAGAGCATCATAGACATGTGGGAAACATGTTTCTTTAGTCTGCTCCCTTCTAGATACGGTTTTAGAAGGATAAACATGAAATGGACCGCCAGCAATATTGTTACAATGATTCCGGAGGACCTGTGAAACTTCAGAGGAGTCATATGCAGTTTATCATGCAGCCCTAGTAGACAGAATAGGCCTACCCCTTGTATTGTTATGTTCAAGAGTAAAAGAGCAATGTAACATCTCTGCCATTTCTGACCACAAGAGTTTCTTTTTAAGTACCTTGACAGGAAAAGGCTCGCTATAAACACAGTTCCATAAGCTAAAAGCATGCAAAAGCTATGGCACAGGACAAACCTTGTGTTCAAGTTATCGCTTCTGATATAAAACCTATCATTTTTCCTGAACTCTATACCCTGCCCAAGTTCAAAAGCATTTAACAGAGCCTGGAAGCTTGAGTTCTGCTCTGTCATGTTGAATGTAGAGACATCCACTTTCAGATGTGTGCCTGGAAGTTCCCTTTTTAACATTGAGAATGAGCAGGTGAGCTTATCTGTTAATCTCGTCACCTGGCCCAAAAATATAGCTTTATCTTGTCCTGTTTTTGCTGTCCAGTTATCGTACACCTTGATAAAAGAAGGTTGATCAGCTCCATCATAGCAGAGTATCATTCTGTTAAACGAGAAAGAGTTGGATAGTGAGAGAGCTAAAGAAGAGTGAGATGGAAGGTTTGAGGAGTGAATGCTAACATTGTAAATGTAGGGGGTCCACTCCGTCCATGTGACCCGGAAAAAGCAACCCTCCTCAGAGCACGTTTCTGGATATGTTAGTAAGTTAGTTGATTGTAGCAGCATGAACCTCAGCAGCATTGTCATAACATGGACCTTATACATTGTTCCCTGAATGATGTTACGTAAACATTATCATTGTATTTCATAAAAGAAATTAATACTAGGTTATAGTCGATGCAAACTAATGTTAACATGTTTAAGATTTTGATACAGTCACGTGATGTAATCGTTCTGTTTTATTGCCATTTTCAAACATATCTTTGTTTTAACGTTTTCAAAAAGATAAATTAAACAGCTTTGAGTAAACAGTATTAGACAGTGTTGTATGATACATTTCAAAATATGATACTGTAGATAACAAAAAAATTTTCAACCGAAATTTATCTTTTTTGTTCAGGTAAGTATCAGGTTGGTATAAATTCTAGAATAATGCAGTTATTTGAATTTTAACTCATTATTCGATATAAAATTTGTATCCAAACAGTGACAATTGCTTTGTCATACACAAATATAATGTTATGATGATACGATATAATGGATATTTAATTACATAACAATATAAGACAACATTACAAATACAAATATAATACGTTAAAACTAACATGTTATGTACAAAATTCCTGAAATTTACATCATTTACATATTTACAACTTTTATCATGCAAAAACCTTTAATAAATCTTTTACATAATAAGATCTTACAGTATGTGGCTAATTCATTCAACAACATTCAACAAAATGATTATGGTACACCCATACATCAAGATGACCCCAATATTAATCATTGTGTACAACTTCAGTTTTTTAATGTAAACAATATGATCATGGATATAAAGATGCTTCAATACTTCATTTCCCACAATCGATCCAAACACAATCCATATCACATATATTCCTTGAATGACAAATATGTGATTCGGTATTCTCAACTGAGTCTTGGACAGTCCCAAAAATATGTTTACTACAACAAGTAGCAATAGAAAGCACCCTATAACGAGATGAACGAAAGATGAACTATATCTAGCTTTGTGCTTCTTATAAGGACGACAGGCACCTAAAATTATTTGAACAATTGTTAAGATGATTATCAAAAAACCAATCAGTTCATGACCACCTGTATTGATAGTCCTTTCTTTGATGAGAATTGATGCAAGACCAACTGCAACAATGAATACCATTCCGTATATTATGCTTGTATGAACTGTATACCACGCTGAGTCAAACAATGGCTTCAAATATCTACTGGTATATATGCCAACCACAAGAAAAACACCATACCCTGTAATCATTGCTGATGCATGCAGCAGGATCCTGAAGTCAGTTATACTGGCATAAGCAGGCTGATTATCATCTTGTCCAAATAGATTTACAGTTTCAGTAGAGACTAAAGGAGTTGAATAGTGATACAGAATGTAGTTGTCTTCCACTGGTCCGGCACCTATGAATATATACTTGTTTTCCCCGTCAAAGAAACTTTTATGTAACAGGAAGGTACACGAAATGAATTCATCTTCCTTTGTTAAAGAAACTTTTGATGTTAGAGAAGGTCCAATAGAAGTGGGCAGAACACCATGTGAATATCCTGAAACTTGAACCACGGATGTCTTCATGCCTTTAGTACACAGTGTTATCTGACTGTCACCCATAGCACCTTGTTCTGATAAACCTATCCCCAACCAGAAGTTCTCTGAACTCTCAAGAGAAAAGTAGGAAACCTGTGCTTTCATTGTTATATTGAATGCACTTCCATAATCTGAATTTTGAAATTGTACAATGCATGATGAGCCAGAGCACTCCGGTGGTGATTTAAAACATGGGGTAGTTGGGCAACTGTTGACTGACAAACTACATAACAATAGGGATAGCAAGATCAGTGTGTACATTTCATGAATTACATTCCTTTGACCTGAGAATTTTAAAGTTAAAGACTGATTCCAGATAAAACATAATATTGTGCATTTAGTCACAGACCAAGGATTATCTGTGTCAATTGTCAGTCTAATTGCATTATAAAGATTGAATCTCATCTTTTAGAATATCATTACATTGTTAAGAAATATATAATTGTGAAGAAAAAAATATTCGATTTTGATCGTTACTAAACCTCTTCCTCTATGATAGACAAAGAGTACTGAATCGAATGTATGAGGTGATGGACTTACTAACGATTAATCGCTTATTGGAGCAAAAGTGTTGAAGATTAGACAACTATGCTAACAGACTAGGTTACAACATCTCTAGTTGAGAATCCAAAAACAAAAATCAAAAATTCAGAAATAGGAGAATTGCTTAAATAATTCCCTTATATGTGGCAATGTTTTGTGAAAGCAAAACTGCTAATAAGGGAGTGTGCAAACTTGTCACTAAATAATAGAGGCTAAATATCACAACACTTATCTGTATGGATGCAAGCAATTTTTGCATGATGCTACTTTCCTCAGAACAGTACCTCCATCTTGAAAACATTATGCAAAACGGAGTTGAAATGACGAAATTATCAAGCAATTTGTCTTGAACTCATCAGCAAAATTATTTAGCTGATCATCTGATCACATGATCAACACAGCAATCAAGCAAATAATTAAGTTCGCTTAGTGCAGGAGGGTTCAACTTTGTTCATAATGCTTGATAACTTAGCAAAGTGAGTTAATAGAGCTCCCAGTTATGTCAATAAAGCTGTCCTTGCAGCATGGCAAATTGAACAAGAAACCGAAACTATTTGTTACTGTATATTCTCTTCTATACACTCATGCTATGTTACTCACATACAAATGCATCTTTATTTATGATATTTGAGACATCATGCAATGTGTTACAAGAAAATGTGATCAAGAACTTCTGAATGCCTGCTTTTATTTTATTGAATCTTTTAAAAATATCATTGTAATGGATACAATAACATGATCTCACCTTGCCCTTGCGGACCTAATATGCCTGAAAACTGTGGAAATTATAGGGATTTTGCAAGTCTTGTCCTGCGGATATTATGTATAAGCATAAAGGGGGGGGTGTCATGTCCGTCTATGTCTGCCTATGTCCTGTCCTTTTTGGATTCTATGAGACAACGGACGTGTTTTTTGGGACATTGGCGGACACGGACGGACATTGGCGGACTCGGACGGACATTGGCGGACTCGGACGGACATTGGCGGACTCGGACGGACATTGGCGGACCCGGACGGACATTGGCGGACTTGGATGGACATTGGTGGACATTAGCGGACATTGGTGGACATTAGCGGACAAACATTTTGAGGACTGAAGAGTACTCAAGAGTACTGAGGAGGATGGCTGAGAAGGATGGCTGAGGAGGATGGCTGAGGAGGATGACCGAGGAGGATGACTGAGAGGGAGGAGAAGGATCAGGAAGACCCAGGAGGAGGAGGAGGAGGAGGACCCAGAAGGAGGACCTAGGAGGAGGAGGAGGAGAACTGAGGAGGATGACTCAGGAGGAGGAGGACTCAGGAGGAGGACTGAGAAGGAGGAGGACTGAGGAGGATGGCTGAGGAGGATGGCTGAGGAGGATGACTGAGAGGGAGGAGGAAGAGGAGGAAGAGGACTGAGGAGGAGGAGGAAAAGGACTGAGGAGGAGAAGGAGGACCCAGGAGGAGGAGGACCCAGGAGGAGGAGGACCCAGGAGGAGGACCCAGGAAAAGGCCCCAGGAGGAGGAGGAGGACTGGGGAGGAGGAGAACTGTTGAGGACTGATGAGGAGGACTGAGGACGAGGAGGAAGAGTAGGAGGAGGACTGAGGAGGGGAGGAGGAAGAAGACTGGGGAGGATCAGGAAGACCCAGGAGGACCCAGGAGGAGGAGGAGGAGGAGGACCCAGGAGGAGGAGGAGGACTGAGGAGGACTGAGGAGGACTGAGGAGGAGGACTGACGATGACTGAGAAGGAGGAGGACTGAGGAGTACTGAGGAGGATGGCTGAGGAGGATGGCTGGGGAGGATGGCTGAGGAGGATGACTGAGGAGGATGACTGAGAGGGAGGAGGAGGAGGACTCAGGAGGAGGACTCAGAAGGAAGAGGAGGAGGACTCAGGAGGAGGACTCAGGAGGAGGACTTAGGAGAAATGAGAAGGAGGACTGAGGAGAACTAAGGAGGAGGAGGAGGAGGACTGAATAGGAGGAGGAGAAGGAGGGGGACTGGGAGAGGACTGGGGAGCAGGAGGACTGATGAGAAGGATGAGGATGAGGACCCAGGAGGAGGAGGACTGAGGACCGAGGAGGAAGAGGAGGAGGATGAAGAGGAGGAGGACCCAGGAGGAGGAGGACTGAGGAGGAGGACTGAGGAGGACTGAGGAGGATGGCTGAGGAGGATGACTGAGAGGGAAGAGGAGGAGGAGGAGGAGGAGGACTGAGGAGGACTGAGAAGGAGGAGGAGGAGGACTGAATAGGAGGAGGAGGAGGAGGGGGACTGGGAGAGGACTGGGGAGGAGGAGGACTGATGAGAAGGATGAGGAGGAGGACCCAGGAGGAGGAGGACTGAGGACCGAGGATGAAGTGGAGGAGGACCCAGGAGGAGGAGGACTGAGGAGGAGGACTGAGGAGGACTGAGGAGGATGGCTGAGGAGGATGACTGAGAGGGAAGAGGAGGAGGAGGAGGAGGAGGACTGAGGAGGACTGAGAAGGAGGAGGAGGAGGACTGAATAGGAGGAGGAGGAGGGGGACTGGGGGAGGACTGAGGAGGAGGATGGAGGACTGAGGAGAAGGATGAGGAGGAGGACTGAGGAGGAAGAGGAGGAGGATGAAGAGGAGGAGGAGGACCCAGGAGGAGGACTCAGGAGGAGGAGGAGGAGGACTGGGGAGGAGGAGGACTGTTGAGGACTGATGAGGAGGACTGAGGACGAGGAGGAGGAGTAGAAGGAGGACTGAGGAGGGGAGGAGGAAGATCAGGAAGACCCAGGGGGAGGAGGAGGAAGAGTAGGAGGAGGAAGCATCTAAATGTTATTTCCATTTTTGTCCGTTTTTGTCCATTTTTGTCCGTTTTTGTCCGGAGGAGGAGGAGAAGGACTGAGAAGGAGAAGGAGGACCCAGGAGGAGGAAGACCCAGGAGGAGGAGGACCCAGGAGGAGGACCCAGGAAAAGGCCCCAGGAGGAGGAGGAGGAC